AATACAAATCATATTTTACAGAGTCCCATAGGAAACTAGGCCAAACTAAGAGAAACGTCCCTGGAGAGATATATGGGACATGTACGTGAGTTTTATTCGTTCATTCAGAACAACGAATGTCTTTGAATCATAATTCTTTAATTTAATATTTTCAAAAATGATGATATTATACTAACTAGTATTTCGATGAGTTGTGTGGGGATTTTTCTTGGTTAGCTCCGCGGAAAATGTCACATTGATTTATTATTATTAATTTTTTGTTACAAGGTGCGCCAGAAGATGCTAAGAGGAGGCGAACAGAAAAAATTGACAAACAGGTGAGTGAATTTACGTTTTAAAAGAAGAACTTAAGGTCTAAATATGTATTCTGAAAACCCTCTAGCGTTGGAAAACGTTCACGCAAATTCGTTTTTCTCAATTTAAAATCAGTATATAATAAGAATACTTGACTAAGCAAGCCGCATAATAATTTAGCTTATTTCGTATATTACAGCTATATTAACAAAATATGAATGTCCGGTAAATAGTGTAGCTGTTTTTATGTGTGCTCATTCATATGTGATATGGTAAGCCTTATTTCACATATGTAAAATGAACAATCATAAAATGCAATTTCATTTATTTATAGGCTACAAACAGCAGCGCGGAGCCACAGAGGAAAAGATACAGAGATGTATGTCCATATTTAGTTTACTCTGTTAATTTCCTTCAATTAATGATGATTAATGTTAAGATTTACACCAACAAATTATGTAGAATGATGAAAATGTATATAATGATCCTTGATATAAATAACAGAACACAAAATAATCTTGATGTTGTATATTGATTAAAGGTTAAATCTGAAATCATTAAGGATTAATTTCAAGGTTAAAATCGCATTAACTATAACACTTTTAATGGAATATTTGAAAACACTTTCGAACGCGTGAAATCGCGTCCATAATTTAAGACTAGTCTACTAGAGATTGAAATATGCTGCGATCTATATAACTTTTAAAAATGATATTTTTTATAATAACTTAAGTTCATTAACTTAATAGTAAAATGTTTTATTATCGATGTTTCCCTAATCATCCAACTAGCTTTATCAAGATTACATTTAAAGTGGAAGTACAAAGTTATATTATTTATGACGTAATAAATAATAAAACATTTTACTCTGAAATTGATGAACTTAAGTTAATATTTATATATCACCAGAGTGATAAATCTACACAGAAAATATATTTTTTATATTTATAGGTCATCTGTGCTAGGTGGCAGAGCGAAGTCTTTCTTGGAGTAAAGGAACGTGATACAGTATTTTATTGCAAGCAGGCACTTTCAACTATCAGTGATTTTAACAGTCTTATGAGGATAACAAACAAAATGAGAGTAATTAATAGAGGGGATTACGCCAAGATTGGTGAGGAAATACCCGATAATCATTATTTTGTCGTACAAGATAGATACCTCGATGCTCCAAAGAACAACTTGGTTATTCTTTTAAAAGAAAGTGAAGAACAAGTGTTATCATACCTCTCGTCTCTTGTAGCACAATTTTAATGTCTTTGAACCTCTCGCCAAATTTTAAATCACAAATAAAATATTTGGCACCCTCTCACAATCAAAAATCTATGACTTAATAAAAATCTTTGCCCAAAATTACTCACATAGTAGCAATGATGCGCCTAAACGGCCTAATGAAACAGTTACTTTACAATGTTCTTACCAGATAAACGGTGAACTCGAAATAATTTACTCTTGATTTATGTAGTCATTTTTATAATACTTAATTTTTACATTTTAAATACATTGTCTGAATTGATGTTTTCTGTAATTTTTGGCGAGGTACTTGCCTCGCCTGCCTCTTGCCTGGCTACATGCCAGTGTATATTTGGTGAGGTAGTTGCCTCGCTTGCCTTATGCCTGACTATATCCCAATGTATATTTGGTGAGCTAGTTGCCTAATGTCTGGCCATACCCAAGAAAATATGTATTTGAAAATGGTTTATAAACAATTTGTAAATTCCAAGACATTTATAAACAGACGGTTTTGCTGTTTAACATAGAAATATTGTAACATTCTATATACACTGTGAGCTTGCCTCGTATAGAAATTTCTATACGAATAGTCATCGAGTATGCTATAGAAATTTCTATACAGGTTGACATTTCCCTAATATAGATATCTATATACATTGTTGACTTGCCTCGTATAGAAATTTCTATACGGACAGTTATCGGGTATGCTATAGAAATTTCTATACAGGCTGACATTTCCCTAATATAGATATCTCTACATACATTGTTGACTTGACTCGTATAGAAATTTCTATATGGACAGTTATCGGGTATGATAGAAATCCTAAAGTTACAGTGAATCACTCCCGTAGTAAAGATATTTCTTTATACATTGTCAGCTTGCCTCGTATAGAAATTTCTATACGAACATGTACAATTACTTTAGACATTTCTCTACATGCATACATTTCTAGACTTTAGAAATTTCTATACGAATGGGTAGCTTGTTTCGTATAGAAATTTCTATACGGACAATTTCCGATCAGCTATAGACATTTCTATACATGCAGCCATTTCTCTTAAATAGAAATTTCTATAACTGACACATCAACTTTTTGATATATTTTTAGCTTTTATTGGCAGCAATAACTCAAATATTAACACTGGTGTACAAATATAAAATAAATGTTGTTATGCAATTTACTAATTGTCTATCTGAAATAAAGGAAATCATTTCTAAAATTACAGTTTACAATGGTCTTTTTCTATTTTTTGACTGAAATAAAAGGAACAAATGGTTTTTTCCTTTATTAAATAGTCAGGACTTTTAATGATTATTCTAAAAAGTTAATCGCTGATTATTATGTGTTAATTCCAACCTGTTTGTCTAGTGTATGTATTTCATACTTGAGTGGGTTTGGGGTAGATATCACCCGGGAATATATATCATATCTGAGGAGCGGGCAGGATATATTGTATATGTCCCGCTCTAGGCCAAATGCGGGCAGATATAATATATCCATCCCGCTCCCGGGAATTTTTTCAAAAGTTTAAAAAAGTTTATAAATTTTAAAAATTTAAATTTCAGAAGTTTGAAATTTTTCAAAAAGTTTAAATGTTACAATTTTATTGAATTGAGCTGAAGGGACATTATGAAAATGTTAAATATAAATTGTGCTTTTACAGTATAGGCCTATCTTGTCATTTGAAAAAGGTGGTAAAGGTTATATCTACCCCAAACCCACTCAAGTATGAGATACACCAGTTATGTACGGTCGGTTTTGGATACAGTGTTTATCCCGCGGGAAATATGTGTATCTCCATCGGTCCCTGCGGTCCCGCGTGAGATACACATATTTGCCTTGGGATAAACCCTGTATCCAAAACTTCCCAGTACATAACCCTTATGTATGTCATATAGTTTCTATATATTTTATTACAAATAGGTGACTCACCGTGTAACAAGTTAATATTCTATGGCGCACACATACATAATGTAGGAATTGTCATGGGTGAATACAAACTTACCCACCAATATCACAACAAAAGACCAGTTTACAAGCATGCAAGTGACGAATTGGATTATCTGTTTTACTTTAAATATGATTCCAATGTCACCAAGGCACACCAATGGATACTTGGATCAGATTTTACAAGAACATTTTCTTACATCGTGGATTATGCCATAAATCCAATGGATATTGATACATCAGAGGAAAATCCATTCTCCTCTTGGGAACCTTCAATCAAAGCGTTTGCTGTTGACAGAGGACTAAAAATGAAGTGTATGGATCGTAAGTAAAAGCATTCAATGTCGACATATCCATTAAAATGAATTGCATGGATCGTAAGTAAAAGCACTCAATGTCGACATATGTCTTAGAATGAATTACATGGATCGTAAGTAAAAGCATTCAATGTCGACATATCCATTAGAATGAATTGCATGGGTGGTAAATTAAAGCATTTAATGTCGATATATGTCTTAGAATGAATTGTATGGATCGTATGTAAAAGCATTTAAGGTCTTAGAATATGTCTTAGAATAAATACACGGATAGTGAGCCTTAGAATGCCTTAGAATGAATTGGAATTTGGAATTTTCATAAACATTAGAATGTTATAATATTATAATGTTATAAAAATCTTGCAAATACACAAGCTGATCAAATATACAAGATATGCATTACAAGCACGTAAGATAATTGGAAACATTTTTTGAAAATTGAGATTCTGCTTTTCAGTTTGATGCTCTGTCAGTCCATTGTGTCTGTTGTGTTTTGTCAGTCTCATTTCTTGTACCCAGTCAATCATTAATCAATTTATTTAATTCTTAAACAGGTATTGAAGTGTGCGCCAAATTTCAAATGACACTTGAGAACGCTGCCACTCTTATCGGAAACGGGACAATAAGAACAGACTACATTAGTGGAACGTATGATATTCTTGATGAGCGTGTAGGTGGAAAGCACGCATATAAACACAATAAACTACCCCTTTGGATTTACCAAAAGACGTAAAGTATTTCAAAAATGTTTACTGATTTCACTCTTATAATTGTTCATCAAATGCTTGTATTACATGCTTATATATAATTTTTCATCTTGTATAACATGCTTATATATAATTGTTCATCTTGTATAACATGCTTATATTACTAACTGTTGTAATGTTTTGACCTTAGTATACTCCACAGAGAATCAATAAATACACAGTATAAAAACTCAAAAATAACCGGAAAATCAAAATCATAACGAATCATGGGATATCATACAGGTACCCAACTGGAAGCTTTTGGCTTGTTACTCAACAACCACCATTCCCTGTACTAGGCAGCCAAAGTTGGTTATTGGCATACAATGATAACGTATTATGGCTTGAGTTTACAAACCCAAGGGGCTGGTTCTTCTATAACTATGCAGACGCAGAGTTGACTTTTAATTGTATTCGCATGACAACAACAGCACCACCTACTACAACAGCGCAATCTACTACAACAACGCAATCTACTACAACAGCGCCACCTACTACAACAGCGCCAACTTCTACAATTACCACAAGTAAATATTATGAAAAAGATTTAATGCTCAAACAATTATAATTCATATAAATATGTAATTTAAATGCAGAATGCTTATAAATTGGCTGTTTAAATGTAAATCACAAACACATTCGTGGGATGGAGAAAGAATAAAAAGTAATTGGCAGAAAAACTCAATTTTTGTGGAAAGGGAACAAATATTATGAACATTTAAATTATCATTACTCTACCTAGGAAGCGAAAGTAATGGAATTATTGAGCAATAGTTTAGAGGCTTATGTATGTATATATTTATGTTATACTTAGAAAAGTAACACGCTCCTCAGCTGATTAGGAAGCAAAGTGTAACTTATTGTAGTAGCAAATCCCGTCACCAAATGCATTTTATCAAATCACTCATTTGTTTAACCTCTAAAATAAAACTAATTTGACAACTGGTATTTGAGTATACGAAAGTGTTAGTAATTTGAATTAAGGTAATCTTGAAAATCTCATATTGACTAGATGCCCTCTGCATATGTGGTATCAGCTTATAAAGTCTTAACTAAGTCCATCAACAGGTATTTGAGTAATTAAACAAACATGCATAGAATGGACAGATGGATGGACGAAAGGAATGGTGGACACTTTCTCTATAACCCTATATTAACAAGTACCTGTAATGTATCTGAACTGAATATTCCAACATTCATTCAATCTTCGTCTTCCTAAATCCTACTTTGTATTTGCCCTTTTCAAAATATTCCAGCCAGTCTAGATGAATGTGCGGTTGGTAGTGACAACTGTAGTCCCAATGCAACATGTACTGACACAATTGCATCATATGAATGTACCTGTAAGCAAGGTTTCCAAGGAGACGGAATTACCTGTGAAGGTAATTATAGGGTTATCATTTGTATGACAATTAGTGTCAATTATTCGAAAGCACACTAACCATAAAAGGAGAAAACCAAAAAGTAATAAAACACATATTAAGAGTACAAACAGTCATTACTGTTAAATTTGGTTACATCCCTCTAAAATAGTGAGAAGACAAAGCTATGGATTGTACCATTTCCCTTCAGTAAAAAGTAAATTGTATGAAATATATAAGTGATATATCATAAACCCTTATGTAAATCAGATGAAGACGAATGCACACAAGACGTGTCCTGTCATCCACAAGCCACATGCGAAAATACACTGGGATCTTATACTTGTAAATGTCAAGTTGGCTATGAAGGCGATGGGGTGTCTTGCTCTGACGTAGATGAATGCAAAAGTGGTGAAGATAACTGTCACCCATTGGCCACATGCGAAAATACAAATGGATCATTCACTTGCGAATGCCCAAATGGTTATGAAGGCGATGGGGTATCATGCACCGATATAGATGAATGTGCAGCTGGACAAATGGACGCCCTGATGGAAACACCAGCAGGTTTACCATGCAACTCAGATGCTACCTGTAATAACACACCGGGGTCATATACCTGTGAATGTAACCAAGGATTCAAAGGGGATGGAGCAACGTGTGAAGATATCAATGAATGTGAAGATAATATGTGTGGCAAAAATGCAACATGCTTCAATGAGCCTGGTTCTTATATGTGTCAATGTAATTTGGGATTCAGGGGTAATGGATACATAGCATGTGAAAACATAAATGAATGTGAAGAGATTCAACCGTGTCATACAGCAGCTAACTGTGAAGACACAATAGGTTCATTTATATGTATATGTAAAGCTGGGTATAGTGGTAATGGAACCGTATGTAACGACATAGACGAATGTAAAAATGGTAAAGACAAGTGTGACAGTAAAGCCTCCTGCGTTAATACAGATGGAGGATTTAGATGTATGTGTTTGGAAGGATATAAAGGAGATGGCGTCACATGTACAGACATTAATGAATGTGTAGATGGCACACACTACTGTGAATTTAACACTTCCTGTTTGAACACTGTTAATGGTGGTTACACCTGTCCTTGCAAAGAAGGCTACACTGAAACCACATGTAAAGGTTAGTAATATCATTATAACTATACACTGTTATTATTGACCTTTAAAGTCCACTGTCTCATAAGCTGACATCGGCTGGTGGTTTTTAGAATATGTATTTATTTGTACCAAATGTAAACCAGTGACACTATAATAAACTATTTTAATAAAAATAAATAAACTATAGAAATATATCTTAACAGCACCAAGGAATACTCTGTAACCTACAATACTAAAAGAAAATGTTTAGGTTTTACAATTTTCAAAGTTTAATTTTTTGTCTATCCATGCCTATGCATTTGGTGGAACCATTTTCAGCTGATTGCGATCATTTACGATTTGATATGTCTGGTGAATTAATGGGTAAGGCTCTAATGGGAATCTATGACATCCAGACTAACAAGCAGAATGATCGAGCTATATACAAACACCGACAAGAGGAGTATTACCTGTATAGCTTCTTGAATAGAGGAATATATCACTGGGGGGTTGGAGTAACTGTAGACATTAATGGAACCGATGTAATACTGATGTGGGAAAGCACTGAACAGACACCGGTTGATACTGGAATGGACTGGTTTATTTGGAATAATAACACCAGCAAGTGGCGACCTGCAGCTATCAAGATAACATGCTGGCCTGATGAAACTGGTACGTTTTTAGTAGTATCTTTATTAAAAATACGAAGGGCGACACAACATAACACATACCTTTTTGTAATACCCATTATATTACGAGTCTCAAGTTCACACGCTTGTCCATTTACTGTGTTAGCTATAAATTGATTTGTTAACTTTCAGCCGTCTGTTGTGAGGATGTCAACGAATGTTTGAATTCAGAATTGAATACATGTGCACTTAATGCTGAGTGCACAAATGTTGATGGCTCCTTTGGATGTTCCTGTATGCCAGGCTATTCAGGAGATGGTATCATTTGTGTAGGTATGATTCATGTATTGAAAAATAATACATTCCGATAATAGAACACATAATCATGGTAAATCTTGTATAGTAACGCATCAGAAGATGTCGTTACACTAGTGGTGATATATCAGTATGACAAATGATTTAAGACATTCATATCTATAAATACAATATTTTTACTATGGACTTATGACTACTTATTTTCTGCATTGTATCCTTTCTGAAATGAAGGGTGTCATAATGCGATGCACGGGGGTCCAACTGTACAAAAAAAACACGTTAATTTGAATTTTAAACCAGATGAAAATCAAAGATTGTGAGTCTCATACTGCTCCACCTTCGCTCAAACCTGTGGCATACAAATCAAAAGCAAATGCCTTTTTGTTTGTACATTATTTTGTTATACAGAGTCACTCGCAGCGTTTGGGTCACCAGTTGTGAGAAGCGCTTCTCACAACTGGTTATATTTGGTGCTAGAAATGCAATATTTCCTTAAATAATAATCTGTTGAATAACCTTTTTTCTTTCAGACATTGATGAGTGTGCAACAGGTCATCATAATTGCGATGATAAAGCAAATTGTAAAAATACTATTGGTAGTTTCATATGTGCATGTATAGATGGTTATGAAGGCGATGGGTTTACATGTTCAGGTAAGAACATAAACTATATTATTTTTTGTCTCATTTGCATCATTTGATTATCCATGTTGAACATTATAACTGTAAATTACACAACATGCATATTGTACTAAATGCATGAATGTGTCATTTTTGGTCTAGATATTGATGAATGTAAAACGGGGACTGCAGATTGTGACACAAATGCAGTATGCTACAATATAGATGGAAGCTTTATATGTTCCTGTAATGAAGGCTATTCAGGGGATGGTAGAACATGCAAAGATGTGGATGAGTGTAACCCAAGTCTTTTACCATTTCCATCTTTTGGGATGAACGACCCTCTTCCTATTGGCCCTATTATAGATATTCTTAGAGCATGTGGGGCTAATGCCGATTGCACAAATACCCCAGGATCATTTGAATGTACGTGTCAAGAAGGATTTGTGGGGGATGGTTTTAAATGCGATGACATTGATGAATGTTTCGAGAATTCTCACAATTGCCATATTGACGCTGACTGCCAAAATACTGAAGGGTCATATGACTGCATTTGTAAAGCTGGATATTCTGGGGATGGAACCACTTGCAAAGGTAAACCTATTTGAATTAATCAACCAATCATTCTCAGTTCATTCACATTTTACAACACAAGTTGGTAAAAGAAGGTAAAACAGAATATAAATCGTCCAATTCAACACAGTGGCTTAAAAGTTCAAGCACAAGACATGCCTATCCATAACGAGGCTGCAAAGCTGGATAGTAAGAACAGACTGACCCACTATTGTAATCCCTTTGATCTTTTTAGTACTCATAACCATTGCGTCAGCTGTTCTAATGATGACATTTACAATTTGATGCAAAATCTATTTAAAACATTGTGTGCGGTGTTACGTAGTATTAGTATCATAAGTATCACTTATTATATGTATCATAAGTATCAATTAGTATTATAATCAGAAGTAATACTTAGTATTGGTATAATTAATTTGGTAAAGGTATTCTAGATCACGTGCAATATCACGGCTTTGTCAAATGTCACATCCCTATTTGTGTTCTTATTTCAATAGATATTGATGAGTGTGTTCTAAGAACTGCGAACTGTGACGTAAATGCAGTATGTTATAATACTAGAGGGAGCTTCATATGCACATGTAACCTAGGCTGGACAGGCAATGGTCGAGAATGCTCAGACATAGATGAATGTAACCCTAGTCTTAATCCATTGCCACCATTTATGATGATGGATCCTATACCAATAGACTTTGGGGTTATTGAAACTATTCTGAATGTATGTGGAGAACACGCTGACTGTTTTAACACAGCTGGATCATTTACTTGCCGGTGTCAAAAGGGCTATAAAGGGGATGGAATGAAATGTGAGGACATCAATGAATGTGAGGGTAATCACGGGTGTGATCCAAATGCTGATTGTATAGACATACCCGGTGATTATGAATGTAGATGCACGGATGGATTTGAAGGAAATGGTACAACATGCACTGACAAGAATGAATGTCAAATGGGGCATGGCTGTCATGCCTTTGCAACGTGCCATAATACTGCTGGTGGATATCAGTGTAAATGTAACAATGGATTCGAAGGCGATGGCTTTGTTTGCATTGATATCAATGAGTGCATGGAGGAATCTGACGATTGCCACATGCATGCAACATGTACCAACTCAAACGGATCATTTACGTGCAAGTGTAACATAGGCTATGAAGGGGATGGAATATCCTGTGTAGATATTGATGAGTGTGCAGATGGGAATGCTCCCTGTGACACCAATGCACATTGTATAAACATAGCAGGAGGAGCCAAGTGTTTATGTAAAGAAGGATGGACAGGGAATGGGTTTTCTTGCTCAGATGTTAATGAATGTCAAGTTCCAACCACTTGTGATGCAAACGCTAACTGCGAAAACAGCATTGGTTCATATACATGTACATGCAAAGCAGGATTTACAGAAAGTGGGGCCAAGTGTATTGATGTTGATGAGTGCGATGAACAAATTGATGATTGTAGTGTATATGCACTATGTATTAATAGAATCGGGACATACAACTGCACATGTAAAGATGGCTTTTTAGGAGATGGGAAAATATGTCAAGGTAATCTTTTTCAATATGTTGCTGTTGTATGAATTTATTGTATTGCATTGCAATTGTTGTTTCAAGTATTAAAATGGCTTTGTATTTGACATATTCGACTTCTGAGGTGGCTTATTGTTGTGACAGTGTTGTAATTCTATGATCGAGTTCTAAATAGTTGCAGAGTCCATAGGATTCTTTCTAGCAGAATAGTTCATGTCACAATAACCTAAATAAGCAATTTACTGGTCAATAATGGGGTATATTTGACAAGTAACTTTAATTATAGACCAGTTTGTCACAATGGAATATTTCTCTCAGACCACAATCGTAACAATTCTGTGATTTGTGGCAAAATGTGACCCATATTTTATTCTGGCCATGGCCAAAGACCTCAATTGTGACATGGTCATATATTATCACATGAATCTAGTGATCAATTATAGAATCTCACCCTGTATTCCTTAAACATCAAATATGTATATGCATGAAAGCATGATGACTTAGATCTGCTTAACTTTTATTATTGTACACGTATGTATGTTTGTTTTGTTTTTTCTTTACGCTTATAGACGTTGATGAATGTGAAGACACTATGTATGCTGATAATTGTCCAGAGAATTCTAAATGTATTAATTACATAGGAGTGTATAAATGTGAATGTGGAAAAGGGTTTTTGAGTGGAAATGACGGCACATGTGTTGATATTGATGAGTGCCAGAACAGAGACATATGTAGTGATCGTGCTACAAGTTGTTTTAACACTGTTGGGTCCTACATATGTTCAGTGAGAGGAAAGCCAACATTTTCTCCTTCATTGGATGTAAATGGTACATACCCATTATATCAGGCCCTTACATTTTCAATGGACTGGGTACAGATTATTTCACTATGTCCCTAGATAATATAATCCGTGTTCAATGTCAGCCAGTAAATACTATCTTATTCATTGGGAAATTGTCAAATGTCATGTAAGCTCCAGTTGAGCTACAACTATGTAAGCACAAATGTCATGTGTAACTATGTAAACACAAGCCCAATAAAGATATACATCCAAAAGAATTAAACTTACTACAAAAGTTCATGACGAAAAGCACCATTTCAAACAATGATCTAACATAGAAAGAAACAGTGTCTAAAGCCATACCCGACCACTCAGAAATCATTATCACACTGAAAATGTAACCTACTCGATTATATAGGTTGCAGAGTACCCGGACCTCTTGAGAATGGTAACGTTGGAGTTGAAGGATTGACTGATGAGGAAATTGAAATGGAAGGAGAAAGAAATCTACCAGATGGAAGTATTGCCAACTTCTCCTGCAGAGAAGGTTTTATGTTGTTAGGTTCGAGCTCGCGCAAATGTGTTACTGGTATATGGACGGGAGATGATCCGAGTTGCTTTCCAAGTCCAGAAGACACGAGAGGTAAAATTCAGTGCCACAATAACACATAAGTATAGTCTATAACTATGTATATACGAGAATTTAAATGGATAGAATTTACTATAATTATCTAGTATAAGTTAAAGGTTTGGGTTCATAAGGTCTTCATAAGATGCTGGTTTATCAAATAATCACGATTGGAATGACGGAGTTCAATGATTGAATCTTATGCGCCAATGTACCATGCCAGTACTAATTAATGTGGTACGACTTTCAGTCTGGATCTTGTTAATCGAAAACCATTTGAGACTAATGCTACGTACACACAAACTAATATTGTTAACTGGTGATACATGGCTCCATGCTACAGCAATGATTCAACGAGTTTACTGCTTTGACATACAAATTTCATAATATAACACATTTCAAAAATTATTTTGTTTTCACTAGAGGAGGGCATTTGTACTGAAAGAAACGTTTTCGGCATATTTTTTGTACTGGAAATCTACTTATTTTCTAAATTACATATTTCAGTATATTTATACTGATAAATGTACTGACTTTTTTCAGTATAAAAAATTTAGAACAAATAAGTACTGAAAATATAGCGACTTTTAAAGGACATTTAAAGTACAAAAATGCAATGATAAATATACCGACTTTTAAGAACAATTTTAAAGAGAAATAAATGTACTGAAAAACATGCTGACCTTTCAATTTAACTTTTTCAAAAACTTAATTCTAAATTTTAAGTATAAAAATGTACTAAAAATTATACTGCCTTTATTAAGGACATTTTAGTGCATTTTGGCATTTTGAGGAGATGACATGTATGACCTGGTTGGCCTTGGTACAGCTGGTCATTTTAATAAGTTGATTAAACATAACTCTTATAAAATCATTAAGAACAGGATGTGTATGCCATGTATGTATAGATAAAAATGCCCGAACTCATCAAGCTTAAGTTATTTACTAGAGAGGCTGCAACGAAACATTACATTGGGATTTTGATTGTTCATGACTATTTTGCTTTTTGATCGATCTATTTTTACACAGTTGAAATGTCTCGAGAAAGGATTAGACTACAATTAGATTGCATCTATCAAATGAAAAGAAGAACTTCTTGATATTTCTTTAAGGCCAACAATGTCCCAATTTTAAGGTTTCCTGATCAAGATGTCTGGAATTACACAGCTCTTGCAAACAGGAGGGACAAAGGAGACCCCCAAAATTGCTTGCTATGTCAGTGTATCAAGTAAATGTTCTAATACATCAATCCCTAAGATTGGGGATCAAAATGTCTTCCAGCTTTGATTTGTTTTATTATGGGGAATAATTATATATATATTATATTTTATATACACTTTATTGTAAAGTTATTCTAGGCCTCTGGGTAAACAGCCACGATAACTTGAACCGTTTAACCCAAGCTGGTATTTCAAACAGAGAGGTTAAATGCAGTTTCTCTCTTTTCTAGTTTGTATTCAATTTGAGCCACCAAGGCATGCAGAAGTTGCATTTACAAACGATGGCATATCCGAAGGGAGCACAGTGACAATATCGTGCAAGAAAGGATTCAAGCTTAAGGGGACTGGTATTAAAACATGTGTGAATGGATCTTGGATTGGTGCAGATGTCTTTTGTAAAGGTATATGTCTTTTTGATATATCATGATCTATAATTCTGATTAATTTTAGCAAACACCCTGAATATAAAATGACTTTGTAATGCTCATAATGCTAAATATTAAGCATAGCAAACACCCTGAATATAAAATCACTTTGCAATGCTCATAATGCTAAATATTAAGCATAGCAAACACCCTGAATATAAAATCACTTTGTAATGCTCATAATGCTAAATATTAAACCTGCACATCGCTCCAAAACGCAATATGTTGACATATATTGTTTTTACATTTTTAAGCTCTAATATAAAGTTTATGTAAATAAAAATTGTTTTTTTCTGCGTTATATCAAAGAACAATCATTTAGTTTAAAAAAATAAAAAGGCGAATGCGGGATTCAACCCGGGCCTCCCGCGTGCTAAGCGAGAATTGTACCCCCAAGACCACCGTCTTCTTATGAATGTATGAAGTAATTAAACGCTACTTATTTTGAATGCTATGATTCGGAAGTGACGTCACGTTCTTCATTTAGAAACTTTTCCAAAATCATATCGTCGGCGCCGATCGAAGCAATTCAATGAATAATCTTTGAAATGACACATTTATCGTAAGTATTTCTACACAAGATTTACCCCCATTTGTTCATCATTCTATAATCTTTCATTAAGCTCAAAATGATAAAGTTCACCCCCGAAACAACCCAAGATTGCGTTACGGAGCGCAGTCCAGCTTTAAGCATAGCAAACACCCTGAATATAAAATCACTTTGCAATGCTCATAATGCTAAATATTAAGCATAGCAAACACCCTGAATATAAAATCACTTTGTAATGCTCATAATGCTAAATATTAAGCATAGCAAACACCCTGAATATAAAATCACTTTGTAATGCTCATAATGCTAAATATTAAGCATAGCAAACACCCTGAATATAAAATCACTTTGTAATGCTCATAATGCTAAATATTAAGCATAGCAGAAACCCTTAATATGAAATATTGTAATGCTCACAATGGTATGTACAATAAATAGCAATCGGCCTAATATGAAATCGCTTCTCTGTAATGCTCATAATGGTATGTACAATAAAAAGCAAACACTCTTAACATGAAATCACTTCTTTGTAATGCTCACAATGGTATGTACAATAAATAGCAATCAGCCTTAATATGAAATCACTTCTTTGTAATACTCATAATGGTATGTACAATACACAGCAAACGCCTTTTATATGAAATCATTTCTTTGTAATGATCATAATGGTATGTACAATAAACAACAAACCCTCTTAATATAAATTAACTTTTTTGTAATGCTCATAATGGTATGTACAATAAACAGCAAACACCCTTAATATGAAATCACTTTTTGTTATACTCATAATGGTATGTACAATAAAGAGCAATCGGCCTTGATATGAATTTATTTCTTTGTAATGCTCATAATGGTATGTACAATAAACAGCAAACACTCTTAATATGAAATCACTTTTTTTGTAATACACATAAGGGTATGTACAATAAAGAGCAATCGGCCCTAATATGAAATCACATTTTTGTTATTGTCATAATGGTATGTACAATAAACAACAAACACTCTCAATATGAAATCACTTTGTTGCAATGATCATAATGGTATATACAATAAACAGCAAACGACCTTAATATGAAATATTTATATGTACAATAAATATAGCCAGAGAGCTGTTTTCAATTATGGGTATATGCACTGTACCATTGTTCTGAAAACATGTATGCTATATTATCCTATGCCAAGTAGAGTTTTATCCCGTATCCTGATTCTGAGGTTTTCATATCCAGAACCTCCATATCTCCCGCCATATCTCCCGCTTCGATGCATATCTTCCCGCTTCCGGTGCATATCTTCCTGCTTCCGGTAATGCAATAAAATGACTTTGCATATGAATGATTTGTTTATTTTTACACCTTGTACTATTGAAATGGCCATATGCCCCTGAAAACTCTACTTGGTATAGGATAAAGCAATTATGTACGGTCGGTTTGGCTATTGGGTTCATCCCTCCCTACGGTCCCTCAGGTAGATATGCTCTGGATAAACCCCATATCCAAAACCACCCAGTACATAACCCTTATATACGTTCGTGGCTCTACACGTATTTATGTGCCATAACTACGCGAATCATATTAAGATGTCCATCATTGCTGAGAAAATATTGTCTAGCTTCACGCACTTGTGACTCAAAACAAACTAATTGTATTATCATTTTTAAATTATCCATTTGGCAGTCAATCGAATATTATTAGAAGGTAAGTTTTACAAGAAGGTAACGAGATGTACAATTAATCCTTGCAATATATCGTATTAAAACCCATAGTGTGAGATACTTGATATAATGTGTTTTCAAATATCTACCAATGTTGCAGATATATAAATAAAATATCACATGAAATAACATGCACACTTTATATCAACGTATATACTGGTGAATTGTGAGAACTAAACCACGTTAATTAAGTCGTTACCACCCCCCCACATACTGCATGCTGCCTATTCCCACATCCCACATCCCTTAACCCACACCCCTACCCAAACACATTGGAGATCCCATCCCAAATAAAATCATATTTTGTCATATGTTAAAGTTAACATTTAATATAAGTAATAATTATAAGCTGGTGGAAAGAACATAATTGAATTACTAATATTGTTGTACAATGTGTAATAATTTCTCATTATCAATGATGTTTGCAATTTTCATGATTTCTGAGTTTCACATTTCTACATATGCTGAATTTATATGACTTGCAATTTGATGTGAGATGTGGGTTGTATCAGCTGTACATGTTTTACAGATATACATTTGAGAATTACAACCGGTATTTAGGTGTCTTATATATACAGGCGGTACAATTTTGCGTTATATTTCATAGCTAACTGTGACTGGCCATTAGATATAGAAGCAGTACAAAGTGGCTCTATTACAAGCCCAGAGCTTCATGCAAACAGCAAGATAACCTTCCCAGAGTCAATTCCTTTCTTCGACACACCAGGCAAGGAACTGTATGTGAGTTTTCTCTTACAATAGAAGTCCTAATCATAAACCAAAATCCAGAGGATCTTAACACTTGTTAGTATGAACAGGTGAATTAAGATGATCAGTCCAATGGTCTCGAAATGGTAATGGTCTCGAGGTAAAGGATCTAGTGCACTCTCCATTAAGATTTCCCCATGAACAAAATGAATAATTTTTTGGTGTAACATGAAGAATACGATGTCACATAATACTTTTGAAGAATATTTAAGCGTTTGGATCCACATGGGTTGAGGTTGAGGTCATTGAGTTCAGCAAGGGTGTATTGACTTGACATTGGATGCGGTCCATTGACTTAACATGTGGATATCATCAGATTCCAATGGAGGCCATTGGTTTCTATTGATTTTCACAAAAATGCCTAAAGTACGCTATTACCTTAATCGATTGCAAGTTAAATAATTCCACAATATGACACACATGGTATATCACACCAGATGTGCAAATATGAAGTTTGCAATCGATTCAGGTCATACTTCAATTTAAGAGATTATACATTTTTCATCATTTTCTCCTACAAAATGGCTATAGAAATATGCTTTGAAATCCAAAGAGTATACTGTTATGTTTCATGAATAAATAACATATTTGGATAAGATAAAGTGATGCGTAGGATGCAAATGGATTTTGACCGACACAAAAAATACTTCCTGATTTGGCATCTCTACGCCTGTACACTTTATGATTGAGTATTGGCCCAAATAAGTGATCCATTCATCAAAACAGTGCTGAAAATAGGTCAAAAATATACGAGTTTACATTTAAATGTAATAATGAAAGCAGTATATTTATTTGAAAAATCGATGAATTAATTTTATTTAAGGGGAAATCATAATGGAGAGTGCACTAGATCCTTTGTAGTAGGTGTCGTGGTTTATTTCTATAATTATATAAGTTCACACTGATATCGTATATATGTGATCAGTAAATTTGTAACATCTTGTGTTTTTTAGATCAGTGTTGATGGCTATATGAGCTTTAACAACATTTTACCAGATCTAAATACAAGTACATTCTTTGCAAACGCAGTGATAGCTCCATTTTTAGTGCAGCAGAGAGTGTCTGGTCAAAACAGTGGCGTGCATTACAAAGTTTATGAAACAATGAATGGTGATGACAACGAACGTGAAGACACACTAGACGAGCTATCATGTATAACAGGTCAGATCATGTTACACATGAAGGTACCTGACTTTGAAGCAACCACTGCGTTAGTTGTAACATGGCAGAGGATGGAGTTGGCAGATGATATAGAAAGAAATTCAGTGAGTAAATAGTGTTGGATTCTGTATAATATATATATAAATATATATGACGTAATACATTCGCATGTTTATCCATTTCTAATGGAGATCCAAGGTATAACGTCAAAATGTGCGATTTAAATTAGTTTACATGAGAATGACAATTTTCAAAATTTCATCAACGTCGTCAATTTTCGACCTATTGTAATTTAGAAAAATTGGGAAAATTTACAGGCATTGTTTATGAAGTCAAATTGAATTTCCACCTCTATCATTAGTATTTTCATGGCTGGTTATGTAAATAAGAATTCAAACATAAAGATGGTTTAACCCATAGTATAATAAGGGTGCTCGTGTTGCCAAACTTATGGAAAGATGGGGGGAGGGTGGTGGTATATATACGTTCAATTGAATTAGAATGAAATAAAATGAAGAAAAATCCGCGTATAACTTGGCATTTCCAAGTAACCGTTCAAATTTGATTGGTATTATAGATGTCATAAAAGAAGATATATGCTTGAACTTCAGAGACTGACATACCAAGCTGTCGTAGCAACTGATTTCAGTGACTCCTATCTTATATTCCAATACATCAACACTAGTATTGAGGATTCAGAGGGAGTCACTGTACTAGGGGGTGTAACAGTAGGTAATGGTGAGGATAACTTTATGATGAGGACATCTGGAACTAGGAATATGTTCGCTCTTGATGACACTGATGGGAATGGAAACAGTAGAGGTATACTGTTCGTAAGCTACTACTCATTACTTAATTTGTTATCTTATTTAAACGTATCGGTTATCATTGGCCAATCAACTTAATTAATAATTAATCAATTGACCTTCCCATATTGACAAAAAACGTTGACAATGAACCAAGGTCAACCTCAACATATTGACTTTACCAAAATAAGAAAATAAACGTTGATTTGTATGCTTCTGTATATTTAGGTCAAACCAAACCTGGAAGATGGTTTTTTAACATGACTAAGAATAGGAACTACACTTCACCAGAAGAGAAATGTATGTCATTCCTGTCAAAGGAAGATCGAAAATACATCAGGAGAAATCTGTTGAAGAACACGGAGCCATGTCCGTGTACAAATAAAGAGCTCAGGGAAAGCACCTTATTTACTCCATCCAGAACAAACAACATATCAGAGTGTTATATATTAAAGGAACCGTCTAAAGTCGGCACCGGGCAGGTAAGCATGTCATATTTATATAAAATGTGAGTCAAATAATTCTTTAAAAATATAAGGCTCTGTGCATATTATTTATTGTTGTAAACCATGACCCTTATGGAAATGTATTATATATATCGAACAAATTACATGTTTTGCGGAAATAAAAACATCATTATATTTGCACAATTAACTAAAAGGGATGAGTACAAATATCAAATAAGTAAACGTTTAAGTGACACAAACTCAACACACACATAATATCAAAGATCACAATCTATGAACTAATAGACCACAATCAAAGTGTAACACAAAACATCCTTCCAAAACATCAAGAAATGTGCACTGAAGAGCAGGAATATAATTGCAGATACATGAAACCAACCAGTTAATCTACTTTCAGGAGTGCTGTTACTATCACGGAGAAGGCAAAAGACTTGGTAAATTAGAAAGGACCGCAATAGTTGAATCTGGCTACTTCCAGCGCTACCATAGTCTAACATATCCAACTTTACATGAACATTTGGACTTAGCACCATTTCGATATTGTTGTGTACTAACTCAAAACTGTCATTTATTTAAATCTGTACGACCGATGAATAGTTGTTTAAAGAGAGATTTGGGGAATAAAAGAAAAGGTTAAAACACGTCCTTAGATGTAATATGAGTTGGTTAAACTGGTAGAAAATCAAAAGGCACATAGCTTTAACGTTTTGTAGTGGATGATTATGTATGTGTAAGGTGGTTCAGTTTAACAAACCTACAGAACACACATTTAATTTTTAGAGGTCACTAACTATTCCTGTTTTAGATACCCATTTGATACAACATACCCGTTATGATTTCCTCGTTTCAAGTTGTTACAAAAGGATCGATATTATTAAGTGGTTTAAGAGTTAATTCAACAAACATGTATGCCAAATAAAATATCCGAAAACTATATAATAACTATACAATAAAATATTTAATTAATATGGAAGTTAATAAATATGGAAGTTAAATAATTTAATTACAAACTACTCACAATGAGAAAACCCAGAGGGTAACAGTCAGTAAGTAAGTAATTCAGAAACCAAGTGCTTAGGATTAGTGCTATTGATTTATATTATTTATGTCTCAATGTTGTCATTCATGTTATTAGTTTTTGGGAGTCTCAAAATGTCAAGAACAAAAACACCGAAGAGGCTTTTCGTATATTCATTAATGAATAATAGTATATAGTGCCTATGGATGACTTTGATTTGATTTTGATTTTGTAGATATGTTTCTTAGGTATATAAACATATAGTTTGCTTTACACACGTTGCACAACTAATAGTAATACCACTTCATTGAAAACATAGATATGATTATTTTCTGCAGCATATTATGTCGTTTGTAGATGGAGTTTTAACCATTGCTCAACAAAAGGTTAATGATATATACACTGCCATGAATAACCGAAATTATCTATTGGCTGAGATAGTTATCCAATTTAAGTTTATGATTACTGTCAAATATCTGTCAAAAAGAATTTCCAAGCTAAGCAAGAAAAAATCTTGTTGTATCATAATTTCAACTAATCTAGATTCTTAATTGAACAACATATTGCAGATCCTGGCATTTGAGTGACAACCTATAAACAGTATCATGAGGAATTGTAAGAGAGGTACTTATGCAAGCCAAAATGTTAAATAATTAAACCTTCCAAAACATTTGCAAAAGAGGTTCTCGCACAAACAGTATATGACTTTATGTACTATACTACGTATTTTGAAAATTGCGAAGCACACGACTCCATGCATTTTAAATGATTTAATGCACTGATATATTGTATTATTGAGTTGTCGCCATCATTCGAAGTCTTTATATACAAGCCATACGTGGTTTAAATCATCTACTATTCATCAAGTCTAGGGTCTAAATCCGTTCTAATATATAAATAATACTTTTGTCATGCAAACATTATTCATCTCTGTGAGAATTTTGTTTTTCAGTTTGTTAGATCCTTTGTAGTTTACAAATATAATACTTTAATACCTGTACAAGCATTTTGCATATCGTCTCGCTATTATTGTTATCAATTAATCATGTGTGGATCTCGTTTATGTATACTTTCATCGCATCTAATTTATAATATTATTATTTCTTCATAAGCATGTCAAGCGTGTGCAAGAAAAGTATATGAGTACTTTGAAATGTGATATTTCTACTATAACCAAATGAACCAACAAGCATGACATCCATACTGTATTCATCAAGCATGTGGATTCCTGTATATCGTTTGTGTGGGTAATACAGATATTCTAATAATGATTGAATGTGTGAATACATGGATCGTGCATTCCTCTATTGTATTAAGGTAGTGTTGAATGTGTGAATACATGGATCGTACATTCCTCTATTTTATTAAGGTAGTGTTGAATGTGTGAATACATGGATCGTACATTCATCTATTGTATTAAGGTAGTGTTGAATGTGTGAATACATGGATCGTACATTCCTCTATTGTATTAAGGTAGTGTTGAACGTGTGAATACATGGATCGTACATTCCTCTATTGTATTAAGGTAGTGTTGAATGTGTGAATACATGGATCGTACATTCCTCTATTGTATTAAGGTAGTTAATCTTTTAAATTTCGCATTCTTCTGTTGGCAGCTTATTTTTAATAAATGTTAAAACTTGTTATTGTACAATAAAAGCACTTTGTTGTTAGTATTTACCTCATATTTATTTATGTACCATATATATTGCATTCGATCTGCAAAACATTAAACATATTATGTTACCAAAAATAAACCTCGGATATGTAAGAGCAGGAAAATTCTAAAAAACTGAACAAATTAAAGGGTTCCGATAAGCTTCCCGAATAATAGCAATATGGCGGCTCCAGGCGAATCAACTGGATCAGTCCATTTTTAAGAAATAAGAGTTTTGTAAAATCCAGTTTATTGAAATTGTCTTGGAGACAAAGTAATCCATTTATAATGATTCTGAAAATATTATTGTGAAAGTAATTGTTCAAAGAATGCATGTACAACAGTCAATATAAATCATTGTATTAGAACTGTTTTGTTTCATTTGAAGGATATTTCATATGCCAAGCTGTGTACTACGGTATGGGGATATTTAGATGTCAATTTTTCCTTATTATACACAAATAGCAGATGCCGAAACTTCACACATAAATCATGATTTGTCAAAATAAAATTTTCCTTTTATAAATGTGTGAGGATCTATAATATACCAATGCTCTATAGCGGTTAAAGGTGTTGACACAACGACCTCGAGCCTGTGGACCATTGAGTATTATCCCGGGATCGGGCCTTTTAAACTAAACGAAGAGCAACACCAGAAACGAGCGTTCGATTTGCTAAACGATATGCGTCGCCTTAAAATAAAACATCTAAAAATACCAGTCGAAAGGAAAACAAATCCCAGATATCCCATCTATTATATAACTTGTAAAGAACTGATTTTGTGAATGACCGAATTCTTGTATTTGAAAATGAACTCATTAACTCACTAAGAAACTAGATGTTACATCTCTAAAAAGTTAAAAATGGGGAAATTTTGAGTTAAAGGACATTAAGTCAAGTAACGTCTCTTGTGTGTTTTAGACGTATAACTCCCCCTCCGGCCCCTACCCCAATTCGCCCCATTTTGATTATTTTCGATTATTTTTTGTATAATACGTACACTCCCCTCCATAAGTTTGGCAACCTTTTTTCCTCATTGAACTACGTGTTAAAGCCTCTTTACCTTTGAATTTTTATTTACTTAACATGCGATGAAAATACTTATACTATTGATGGAAAACGTAATTTGACTTTAATTCCAATACCTTCAAATTTTCTCAATTTTTTATCTCAATTACAATAGATGGAAAATTGATGATAAATTTGATGAATTTTTGAAAATCGACATTCCCATGTTAACCAATGGGAAATGGTAGGTTTGCCGCAAGTCATGTGACAGAATATCCATCCATTTGAGTATTTGCAAAAAATACGAGTTAGGCAGGCAATTGAATTTGCTAACTTTATTTAACAAAAAATTGATATGTTTCTTCAGGTTCAACAAAGTTATAGGGCTTTAAAGTCAAAGTTTTTTTTCAAAAAAACTCTCCCATTGAAATAACACAGGAGGCGAAAAATTATTTTCAAAAATGACTTTGAAGCGCTGTAACTTTTATATTCATCAAATAAACTAAACACTTAGTGTTTTAAAAAGTTAGACAATTCAATTTTCTATATAAAAATTATTTTTTGCTGAATCTTTTACTGAAAAGATATCCTGATTTCTGAACCCTCCATTTCCCATTGGGTTACATGGGAATGAAGATTTTCAAAAGTTCATCAAATTTAGCATCAATTTTTGACCTATTGTAATTGAGGAAAAAAATTGAGAAAATTTGGAGGTATTGGAAATAAAATCAAGTTACGTTTCCATCAATATTATAAGTTATTTCATCGCCGGTTAAGTAAAAAAAAATTCAAAGGTAAGGAGGCTTTAACACGTAGTTCAATGGGGAAAAAAGGTTGCCAAACTTATGGAGGGGAGTGTACATTCTCCTCACCCCTCCGTCCATGTTTTCCGATTACCGTGCTTGACATTAAGGCATGTTGAAGAATAAATCAAACATTGGAACCAGTACTCTTGACATCTTAAACAGTTGTGGATTCTAATAATCTGGTATTCTTTGTATCTTGAAACCTGTAACAATTAATGAATCGATGTAACACAATGTTCTGATATCATACTCTTTATAGAGTCTCAATCATGTTTAATTCATTGCAAATTAAACATTCTTGTACAAATGATCCAAATTATAAATACAATGTCACCATGATCAAATATTTCATATAAAAGAGATTTCTTAAATATGAATTCTTAGATTAATGAAGTATAAACTGTTTAAATGTTAATTGTTCATATATGTAGTTACATGAATTAGATATAATAACCAATGTCAAATGATCAATTTACCAGAATACTTCACTTACTGTCATGGGGACCCATGCATTAATTGTTCTTGCAAAGTTAAATTTAATATTGATTCACAATACATGTATGCGTAGCTATTAAACTATGTTCCGCATTGATTAGGCAAACAAACCGTAATTAAAGCATGTCGTGTATTTGTGAAGTAATTGTGTTATTATGATAAATGTGGAATGGGTCTTTGTTATTTTCACATGTATTTTTTTCCATGAGAGATATTTACTGCTGTAAAATCATTATTTGTTAATACTCTATATTCTTGTTTTCTGCAGAACCGCATTTAATGGGTTTTTGATTGTTAAGGCTCACTTGGTCTTGTTTATGTTAGTAATCTTCATATTATGTGCACGATATTGGCATGAAAGTATATCATGTAAAGGATTCTGGCAAGTCAACATATTGGTACTTTTACACTTTTACTATTTTGTCAGGGAACATGGGAAGGGAATCATTTTACACCACCAGGGGTCACTTTCCATGGGGGGGGGGGGCTGACCTGTGTTTCCTTCTATAGAATACAATACTACTTGTGGCGATTATTTCCTGATTTTTGGTATCTTGCTTTCTAACAATGCTACTTTAATTCTACTTGGTGCTATTGGCGTTAAGCTATTTTTCTTTTATATAGATACAATACATTTAATGAAATTTCATACTTTATTTAAGATACTTCCATTATTTCTAAATGAGTATTTAATGATAGGTAGTGTCATACTGATTATGATTTTTCATGTTATGTTCAAATGTTGCCCATTGTTGACTGTCTTGTTGTACATTTGTTGCACATATTGCAGTTTATATGTTTAACTCTCAACTCTCGTATATTTATAAAAAACTCATAATGCTAAGTTGATAAGCATGTTTGGAAACCATAAAATTGAAAATTAACTATCCACTGGCGTATAAAAATTGATTACGTATTTTCCTACAGGTTTAAATAAAAATACACTTTCTATACAGTTATCTGCATCAATAACTGATTACATTTGGATATACGAGTATAAATTGATAAAATTGCATATGCCGAATATATTAAAAGCGTCAATGCTCATTTAAATACCTGCCAGGGTTATGTACACATATAGCAATAATCAATGATAAACCTAAAATAAATACATTATTAAAAATGTATGACATGCTAACTCACTCTTTTTCTGTCAATAATAGAGAATAACTACTGGGTTGTTAAACAACTACTTATATATGGATGATTCCAAGAATTAAATAATATTAACAAAGAATGTTAAATTCGTGGAATGCTGACTCGGATAAACGCAAACGATGTTGGATATTAATATACATGTTGTATGTAAGCAGTGCCAAGAGCCTGGGAGATGTAAATGTGCAAGTTAAGGGGACAGCCTCAAAGGGAAATCCAATTGTGGAAAATGCAGATGGTACTGCTGAACTGGACCTATTCGATTCACAGCACGAAGATGAAAATGAGAGTACCGACAGTGACGATGACATGGGGGAAATTGAGTATGTGATAGCTGGACTTAACCTGAAAAGAAAAACAAAGTTATCGAGAAATGAATGGGTAAGTATAAGCAAAAGTAGCTATTTTCGTCGATAACCATGTGAGACAACTTTCGAAAACTACATCATCGTAAGCCTCAAATAAATATTTCAATAAAGATATGAAAAAAGCATTATGTCAATACTTTAGTAAGACAGTCCAAATAATATCATTTTATAATTAAAACTAAAAAATCAAAACTATTTTCCCTATCATTATGGATCAAAGCTTTACTAATTATAACAATTTAATTGGCTACATAGTGATTCCGATAGTTATTGAAAATTAAACCAAATGAAAATGTATTCATGCATTCAGATATGTCTTTATCATATATACACCAGAATTAATTTAAAAAATCATCTGTAGAATGAATACTCTAAAAACATTGTATCTATAATAGCTCTATCTCACAGAATGCTATGTGGTTTGAAATTGTCTCAGTATATTTGTTTGTTTTTTAGCTAAATGCATTCGATGCAACTGTTAGTGAAGTTGACACTACAGTATGTATTGTATACGTCGGGTAACGTAACGTAACATAACGTTATGTTATGCTACGTTACATAACATAGTAATTTGTCTTTTCATGTTATTGAAAAAATATAATTATTATTTCATTCTTTCATTTCACACGATGCATCCTTTGGGATATCACGATAATATACCCACTTGGAAAAGGAATTATATGCTTAGACTGTTGACGCCGACTATTAAGACTCATATCCTGTATCCGTCTATATGTCATGTGTGATAAACGTTATCGTTATATTAATCATAATCATCTGTCCCAATCCCTTTTCATATTTAAGCCAGATATTTTTATAATAAACAACAGAACTATTAGATATAATGTACCCCATACGAGTTTTTGATGATAACGTTGACCCGTGATTTTAAACACTCCCCCCTATACTTTTGTTATTAAATTTACCACACATAAACTAGAGACAAGTTCCAACCTTGGAATTATTTGTTTTTATTTTACTTCAACAACAATATAATCGCAAGCAACTGAACCAAATGTATTATTGCTTTTTAACCTATTTGACGTCATAAAATCAAATTTAAGCATTGCTGAATTTAACAAATTTATTTACTTATTACTTATGCGAACAATAACACTCTGTCAAAGTAGGCCTCTATGGTATTTTTGAATTGTCAATCGGCAGTCTGTCTATGAATAAGACAGGTCCATCTATAAGGTCTTATTTTGGGAATGTTATCTTTGCCCTAAATATATAGTTTCCCCATTGTTGTCATGGTTGAATCACAAATGCGCTACAGTCATTACGTCATGTTCATCGAAACAATGTAGCAATCTGGTAAAACATTGGCTACTGCGTAATATTTTGAAATCACTGCCATTTAATCATTATAAACCTATGGCTCAAAAATATTCCAATGTTGGAAAGTATCTCTGTCTAACGTGTGTTAGTTGAAATAACAAACAGCACCGGAATATAAAATATAATAAAAATATAATTAATAGTGTTCAAATCACAGGTCAAAGATACTATCAAAAACTTGTGTGAGGCAGTATACATTTGATAAACAATATTTTGCAATAACATGTTCCCGTGCGAACGTACATAAAACCTGCTAACAAAACGCATTTCTTAATTGGGAATGATGTATCAATACTCATTAAATGCCAGAACAGTTTCTATAAGATCACCCAAATTGCGGTTCCTAAAAATTCGGCGTAACAAAAACTAAATGGATAATTTGAAAACATCGGGATTGCTAAAATTAAGAAAACAGGATACAACAGTTCGAAATAATCATAGGAAAAAAAAAATTTCTAAAGATAAATTGTGAGGAATATCGGGATATGAATGATTCCAAACATTGTATAATCAATGGTCCTCAAAATGTTATTAAGCCATTGGTGCTACGATAATTTGTTTTCATAATTGACACTGCTTACGTGTACGTCCATAGTTTTACAGCTACGATCAACGGTACGATTTAATCTATGTCAAACAATTCTACTTCAAAGCTTATTGGTGAATCAGCGTAATCTTGCATTTTACCATTACATACTGTCTTTTCAAAGTATCCATAACTATTTTAGGGGATTATACCGTTTTTTTATCATCGGCTTGTTTTTCATTGTCACTAATTTCACAATTTTATTCAATTTAAAAGACCACTTGTAAACTTTTTTGAACCATTTGGGTGTGCAGTAATGTTGTATAGTTATTACTTTAGCTTGCTCGGACTGGGGCGATAAAGGAGGAATGTCGGTACATCGACATGATTCCAAATGTTGCAAGATCAAAGTGTTTCAACGTGTTACTAAAACGTTGTATGCACCGAGAAAACTGGTGTTTTGGGGTAATGTATACCACATTCTACCCGAAATATTTCAATGGTGATTTAAAATCGATTTATTCTTAAAGTGAGATGATGTATGCATGAAACATGTAGATACTTATTGCGCCAACCTGGTCTCAATTTAGAGGTAATCGAAGTAAGCGCTAAATCAATCCGGATTTCCCACGATTTAAATCGAGACTTAATATCTGTTGCGGCGGCTGTTTTAAAGTTGTATCACGTTATACGAGTTACTGTGAAAAATGAAGTGACTTGTTAATAAAACAGGATCTTAAGTTTTTAACGAAAATCGGTAGAGCATCTCGTATCGATAGTTATTAATGAAAAATCGGGATTTAAAAAAGGATAACCCCCGATCCAAATCGGGATTTGGCAGCTGAATAGCTGCATTGATTTGTTAGTCCAATGCTTTTGTATTAGTCTAGTTATTATGATTTATATTTAATTCAAGACATCAATCTCTAAATAACACTAATACTAGAATACTTTTCTTTTTAATGTATTTAGTAGTTTTTTTTAATTTTTTTATTTCAAAGAATAAGCATGTTAAAGCAATTGCAAAAACAATTACAATGCAGTTACATGCTTAAACATATCTATCGCAGGTTCATTTTGTAAAATACAATGTAAAACAAAAATAACTCCAAATAGATAGTGAACTAAAGTTCACTTGTTGTAGTCAATAAAAATACGTTTTGAGCTAAACTCTCTGTTTACAATACATTTCAAGGCACTAGGATGACAAAATATAACCATTAACAATGATATAATAATTTGTTACACACACTCACGTCGGACACAAATACTTGTTTATTGGTCAAAACTGTCTGTCATTACCACACCTCGGTGGTGACATAAATGTGACATTTGATAATGCAGAAACATGACTATAATGTAATTATACTTACATTTATAAATTCAATACAAAAATACAAGTAAGAGTTCAAAATAATTTAATAAATTAAAACAGATGTTCAAATTAATTATCTATTCATATTTAGACATTTTATACATTGCAGAAGAAGCTAAAGAAGATAATACAATCACATTTATATAACCAAACTTTAAATGAGAGAGTGATTGTATGGAGGAACATGGCAAAGATGAAACGACGACTTGCTAAGAAACTGGGAATAAAAAAGGTAAATATAACAACGACATAAATAAATAAACAAGACCTACCAAAACACCAAAGGAAATGGTACATTAAAACGATCACCGGATTTATAAACTATATCGTGATCATATTGTAGTGCAATTTAACATATTTGCTTCAATCTATAACATTTGTGAGGTAACTCCTCAATTTAACGTTGTATTTATAGGTCACATTTGATATTGAGAAGGAGGGACTATTTCAAGGAGACATCATACTGAATGCCAACCAGGCAAAAGAGATGTTAATGGACCAGACGATACTAGATGGATTAGAGAATAAAGGTGCGCATAAAAAGGAGGCACATCGAAATAAAAGAAGTTCAACTGGCAACAGTGACACGAGGCACATTCGAGTAAAAAGAAAATTAAATGTTTATGCTGACACATTTGGGAGAAATATCAATTACATGATAAGCCCGGATATTGGTGAGTAAAATATTCTTAATATAATAATATTACTTTAAATGTGCATAATACTGTTTTGGTTGTGTGTTAGTATCAGGTGAAAATCAAAATCAGGTGTGAATGTAGAGAGTCACAGAGAAACACCGAAAGAGCATTATAAACCACGATATGCAAGATACAATTGAACATCAAGATGCAAAAATCTGAAAATTCATTGATCATTGACTAAAAGTTGTTATGTAAAGGCAACGAGACTATAGCAATAAGTATAAACTATGGTTAGTGTATCATTTCTAGTTTTATAATTGATTAATAACTACCACTACACATTTATGATATTGATTGACGAGCAGGGTTTTTAATTCATAGAAAAAACGTCCATACTGTAACAACCCTGGTTGCTTCGTTTTGCTTTTACGTCTCAATTCATTTATATCACATATTCTTTCAATTAATTGTAAGGTTTACAGGGTTTTCTAAACTTTTCATAACAGTTATATAATTGTATTACGACTCAGAATACTATAGTCAATCAGAGAAGGGCTTTCAAGAACGGCAGAGGTTTGCTTATATACACACGTAGATTATCGCAATTGTGAATATTTTCTAATCATGAACATGTGTGTATCTTTTAGATCCATTCATTATCTTCAAGAAAAGTATATAATATAATGATAATTTAGTTAATCAGACCTTAGAAGTGATATTGAAGGGGCAATGGACCAATCAACATACTTTTTCAAAAATGTTGACCTAATTTTCACCAAAAATACAACCTTTTATTATATTGTTGAATGTATACTTAGAATGTGCTTTGAGGCATGCTAGATTTCCTAAAAGGAAAAGTTGATTGCTCCAGGGACTTCAAAGATATTGAATTTGGATGACAATAATGAACTGAAACCAATGGATAACATGAGATTTTTCAATGGAGAAATAACACTTATCTTAAAGTAATTACGTTTTTCTTTCAAGAACTACTTGATAAATCAAAATAAAGAATAGTAATGCATTAAACATTGTAAAAAATGATTGCATTTTTGGTGAAAATCGGGTCAACATCTTTGAAAAAGTGTGTTAATGGTTTGATTGCTAGTTGAATATCTTCGAGTTTGTTGGACTTTATTATTTCTGTATATAATTTTCTTTGAGATAATGAATTGATTTAAAAGATAAACCCGTCTTCATTGTCAGAAGATGGTCATAATCCAAGATATAACCTTTTGCAATTATTTGCGATAACCTACGTGCTCCTTTTATATGTGCTCTTTAAATTGTAGGACTTTTAAGTTCTTAGTTAGGATAAGATAGAAATCTAAGTCAAGGGATCTTGTTTGAAAACTTTGAGAAATACAAGAACATCTCTTCTAGTTGCTTTTGATTCTAATCAGTACATACTCCATACGTATATTGTTGTATTGTATTTTTGTTTACCACCAGTTAAAGTGAGCAATACCTCCCGTATATGTACGGTCGTAATTTACGTAATTAACATTAAAGATAGACCCAGAAACTCCTCCTTGAAGGAGCCCTGTGTTCTTTAATATGCACTTATACATAGACATACAAGTACACACCACAGCATTTTGTATGAGTTGTGAACCACTCAGTCAAACACCCTGAAGTACTTCACGCAAACAAGCAAATAAGTCTTGCCTGAACCGGGGATCGAATCGTGCTACCGCTGAGATATACGGGTAAATATAGTAAATGTATATGTAGTTACATAATATACAAGTATATATTTTAATTCAAATTATGTTTTTGTTATCATTTGGTAAGACAGTTTTGCCAGTAGAGAAAACGATAACGACCGTACCGTGTCGCACTCCATAGTCAAGGTCATACTCTACCATCAGTTTTCAAACATTCACTATTTTTAACATCTCATATTGTCACGTTATGGCTAGACCAGTATAACGCATTTGTTACAATACCAATATTGTAATGTGAACAAAGTAGTTAAGCTTACTTTATTTCGTTAAATAACGGTTGGTGTAATTCTAGCTAATTATTCTCACTAAAAGCAAGGTAGGCGACGAATTATATTACATAATACTATATTTACATAACTGTCTAAAACTGTATATTTGTACATCCATGTATCGGTGCACATATGGTAACACAGGCCCTTCCAGACAGCGGTGCTTTTGAATGCCAGTCAGTATTTGCATTATCTAACAATCATATAGATACTGTACATATATAGTATATACCCATAATTCATTATTCAGCAATACAGAGGTAATGATACGGTACATATATAGTATATATCCATATAATGCATTACTCAGCAATATAGAGGTACAACACAAAGATGTGATATTAATGCACTTGACTCTATAAAAATATGGAAAAAGAGTTGATGAAATTTGTATCAATATCACATTAATGTAAATACATTCATACTATTCTTTTGAAAAAAGGTTTGTAATTATACAAAAATAAATACAATTTAAATTTATTTTGAATATGGGTTTATTCAGACAAATCACAAGGTGGAGCTTTTAATAATGGAGGATATGTAAACCTATTCTTAGTCTAAGAAGGAATCTCCCAATGAGGCAATAGGGTCATCAAGTAAAATGATGAATGTATAATTATTATCAGGTCTAGGTATAATATATACACACATATTCAAGTCCAACTCAAATAAAGGCCTTCAATGTAATTTTGAATGATCTTCAGATTTTTGTCTGTTTCATATCATTTGAGACTGAATGCTATTATTATTACTATATGCTGTTATTTGATGGTATGAGTATCTATTATTAATAGATCTGATCTTTCCAGTTCCACTAAGTCCTATCACCTTTGAGACATCAAGGAATCTATATTATATTTGCTGGGATGATGATGTCATATATTGTTCTTTTTCAAAACTAGCAATAAGTAAAGCATATTTTTGCTTTGCCAGATTGCTACAAACAACCAATTACACCATCAACCTAGCTAATATATCTTTGCTTCTTTCATCAAGGTGGCAGGATTTAAAGGAAAGGTAATTCTTAAACATGTATTGTAATGCCTTTAGTATGAAGGAAATGTCGCTTTGGGTTATGGTCCAGGATAGTGATAATGAAACTTTCAGTTAGATCATGGTTAAGGATAATTGGGGTTCGTTTTCCTTAAATGTCCTCTTAAATGATTGTTCTTGCTGTGTTCTGTAACAACTTTGGTCCTATTCCTTAGAGCAATTGTGCCTTAAGGCGTTTTTGGACTTTTATCTTTTCAAGTGCATCCTTTGTCCAACTAACCTTCCAATGGTGCTAACTTACTTCCTGCGAAAGCTATTTGAATTTTGATATAATAGCTTTCCCACGGAGCATTTGGACAGCTCAGTGATCGTGACCTTTGAAATCGAATTAAGTAGATCCGCGGCTTACGTTTGGTCTCTAACTGTGTCTTACATCAGTATCATCATTCCGTGTAAGTATTGGAGCGCTGGAGTACTTCTTTTTCGATCAAGACTTGTAATTGTTAGGTCGAGTGAATCGTTTTACTGCCAAATTCCAATATGGCGGTTTCTGCTCGGACATTTTCGTAAATCTCCGGAGGTTGTCCGAACCTAACTAATTCTCAAAATTCATTTCGTTCGTTGCGTATCTCGCACCTAGCAAACCGCCATATTGGAAATAGGTCTGTAAAACTTTAACTCGATGAACAATTTACAAGTCTTGATCGAAAAAGAAGTACTCCAGCGCTCCAATACTTACACGAATTGATGATACTGATGTAAGACACAGTTAGAGACCAAAAGTAAGCCGCGGATCGACTTAATTCAATTTCAAAGGTCACTATTGATCAGCTGTTCACTTCTCCGTTTGAGAGCCATAAGTTTCAAAATCTAACATGGCTCTCGAAGTGAGTAAGTGCTAACCAGCACAAAAATTGTCAACCAAATCCGTTTACGTTTAGACTTCCATGTATAAGAAAATATTATCCACACATTGTATCCACTGTTGTATATTGGTAAAAATGAATGTTTGACTTTATACTTGTTTTGCTTTTGTAGCTACAGATTTATTGATGATATTTTTCTGTATGTAGGGCATTATTTTTTCTTCAAGGAATTGATTTATATATTTTTCTTTATTTTTAGGCTTGTCGTTTCAGGTTCCTCTTGGATCTCAATTCAACTGTTGAGCTCCACATTCAGTATTTGACTATTCCCGTTTATCATCCGTACTACTAGGCTGTTGGCTCTCACAATCATTGAACTACTTTAACACTCCCAGGATTGCCATGTCCATAGCCACTTCCCGAGGCGCAAATAATATCGTAGTATCTGCGGACGGTATTTCAGTAAAAATTGCATAGATTTGAATTTATATTTGTTTTGGATAACGTTTGCAGTTTAAGATTGATTGATCATATTGCTGTATATGTTAGGACTTTATTTACTCTTTTTAGGAATTCATTTTAGTGGTTTCTTTAATTATATGCATGCGTTTTAATTTTTAGGCTCATTATTATATATTCCCATCGACTTTAACTTGGCTGCTGCGTGAGCTCTATATCCGGCATTTGTCTTTTTTATCACAATCATTTGTGGACTAGTTCTGTTGTCCCTCATATATCCATTGAAGTACTGAGCACTCCAAGCTTTGCCCATAGTTACTCGCTATTAAGCTCCAAAACTGACAGTTGACTCCTTTTGTTTACCATAAGCATCGGCGCACTGTTGAAGCCTACATCTATTAGATTGCTGAACACTTCAAGAATTTCCCACTTTGCTGTTGAGCTCCATATCCTGCATTTGACTGTTCTTATTGTTTACCGCACTGGAGTATTGTTGGACTTTTGGGTATGAATATCAATGGTAAAACAATAGTTATGGCAAATAGTCAAATGCCGGATATAGAGACTGCAGTCCAGCAATGATTATGGTAAACAAGAACAGTTAAATGCCTGAAAATTGAGCTTAACAGCCATGTGGCTTTGGAGCATGGGTTGGGCAATATTCTGGTAGGGCTCAGCACTCTAATGACTTTGGGAGCCAAAAGTCCAGCAATGAATATGGTAAACTAGAACAGTCACAAAAATAATTTCTTTATAGAAGGGAAAATAATGTCTTAACGGCCTAAACAATAGGCCTAAAGATCGATCAATCTGAAGCTGTAAAAGTTATCCAAAACAAATATAAAGTAAAAGATATGCAATTCTTCCTGAAATACTACAATGGCAAAAGGTCCACAAGTGTGTGGATAATAATTTGCGCTACAGGGAAATCTAAAGCCGATTTGGTTGAAAACGTTTGTGCTTGGTGTGCGATCAGGAGACCATTCTTGCAAAAAACAAAAGATGAAACACCTTATTGTGCCTACACATCTGAAGCAATACACCGAAATGCTAAGATAATTTCTAAAATTAAAGGGATAAAAGCTGATATTTTATATTTTATAGTGATGCAATACATGAGATATGCCAGGGGAGTTTTTCTGGCGATATATGAAATACCCCGAAATGACAAAGGAATTGCTGTTCAACACTGCTATCCTTGATGTTCATAATTTGTATTGAATATTTCAAGTGTTTACTCCACAAGATCTTGTTTAGATTTCAACGTAAACTTTCGATGGCGCAACACTTTCACTACCTCTTGTACAGGAGGGCCAAGTACAACAAAGAAAGACATAATGAACAAATATACATGAGTGAAGGTTATCCAGTTGTAGAAAGAGGAGTAATCCATGGTGGGGAATGAGGCTAGACTCCCTGGAATGATAACAAGGATAATGAGTAACACAATTGAGCAACCAGCATATGCAGTGTTCCTAGCCTTTGTGAACATATAATGCATCTGTTTAAAAGAAGGTCGATGTTTGAATTCTATCTCGCTTGCTTTTAGTTGTCGCTTGTATAGTTCAGTCCATGGGTACATCGGGTTGTCAATAGCCAGAGTCAGTTTCCAGACGTCTTCCGCTTCTTGTTGAGTTTGTCTCCAGTTGGTCACAAGTGAGATAAGAACACACGTGATTAGACTCACACCAAAGCTTACACAACAACCGACCAGCACACTGGAATTAGAACGAATTCACGTCAAACTATAACGTAAAAAAGTGTAACCATATGGTTAATTAATGGATAATGTTACGAAAGTCCTACTTAATGTCGACGCAAAATGTTAATCACCATAATACGACAAAATTTAAACAATGTTGTTGTCACACATAACTTGTATTAAATGTGTATGAGTAAATCCAAAAGGCATTTTTAGATTGTCGCAATCATATTGTAAAATTATGACCAGGTTTACTTGCCTATTCTCCTGGACTGTATTTTTGAGAAAGTTGTCCACTGTTGATAGTCCTTCAGGATATGTGCTGGCTGTGACTAACATAGTGAGCCAACCAAGTATCAAACCTAGGGCATTACCTAAAATACGCGTCCAAAATAATCTTGTAATATATTTTTGCAACTTAAGCTTATCACTCATCTTCATACTAAAAGTACGAACCAACATTAATGTTTCAGAACTGATAATGACATGAAATATTTGTATTTAACCATTCGTTGTTGCATAAATATCTATACAATTTTACAATCATCATTTTCATATTCTGTCAAAATGTCGGCACGAATTAAATAGTTAAAAAGCTACAATGAAAATGAACTACCAAATTGCGATGTCAACTAATGTTGCAATTGATTACCGAGACCTCTAGTTTGCTTCCTTTATATTTTTAAGTATTGAATGTCAGTGTTCGTTCGTTATCCCATTTTTTGTGTTATAATATTATTTGTAATAAGCCACACGGTGAACAGAATCGCACCCTTGAACAGAATACACTTTTCGGGATGGAAAATCCAAAATGGCCACCTTAAAATTTATCCAGAATGCTGAAAAACTAATGAGTTATAAATTTTCATAGGTAGAAACATCCCTGAAAATGTCAAATGAATCTCACAGACGGTTTGGCTGGAAACCTGTAGACAAGCCTTCACAGGACAGGATTTTAGGACGAAAAATCCAAAATGGCCACCTTAACATTTACCAATATATAAGCACTAGCGCCAAAGGGAAAGGACCAAAAGTTGTAATGGAACTTAGCAAGAAAAAGCAAACTCTAAGTGCATACTATTTAAGAAAAACAAACCCCATATAGCCCAAAACCATGATCTGGCGTGAAAAGAAACAATGTCTAATACCCTCTTTCCCCCCACCATTTAAGAATCAATATCACAATCCTAGACCAGAAGACCAAGGGACATTTCATTCATACTGAAGTCATTACAATACATGTTGAAGAAAAAGAATGCCGAAAAACTAATCAGTTCTAAACCTTCATAGGTAGAAACATCCCTGAGAATTTCAAATGAATCCCTCAAACGGTTTGGCTGGAAACCTGTAGACAAGCCTTGACAGACAAGATTTTAGGACGGAAAATCCAAAATGGCCGTCTTAACATTTATCCATAATGTCGAAAACCTAATCAGTTCTAAACTTTCATAGGTAGAAACATCCCTGAGAATTTCAAATGAATCCCTCAAACGGTTTGGCTGGAAACCTGTAGACAAGCCTTGACAGACAAGATTTTACGACGGAAAATCCAAAATGGCCGCCTTAACATTTACCCACAATGCCGAAAAACTAATCAGTTCTAAACTTGCATAGGTAGAAACATCCCTGATAATTTAAATGAATCCCTCAAACGGTTTGGCTGGAAACCTGTAGACAAGATTATTCGGGACGCCCGCCCGCCCAACTGCCCGCCCGCCCGCCCGCCCGCCCGCCCGCCCGCCCGCCCGCCCAGCAAACTGATTACAATATAGCACCTTAGGGTGCGATAAAAATTGTTTGTAGTCCATATATTGTTTCCCAAAAAGGAGAGATTTAAAAGCTGATTGTCAAAAGTTGTGTCTTATTCTGACAACTGGTCAAATCATTTCAAAATCACCTAAATAAATTAACCCCGCTGTCGGAATTTGTTGTATATTAACGTTAGCAAAGTAACTCTTTAATACTATTCTTGTTAGGTTTGGAAAGGAGTACAAAGATCGAACCAGTCGGGAGTACTAAGCTGTTGAGAGGAAATTATGGGAAACTTTTAAGTATTATTTGTATAATTTTAGTAATTGCTTCTTTGTAAATCTAAGTACTTAATTGCTGTAAGAAACTTAACAAGAAATGTCAATAAGAATAAGTTTGAACTGAAGACAATTTAAAATATTTTATAGATAATCTTTATATGAGTATATCCCGATTGTAATTTAAACTGACCTGCAATGACACCAGCTCCAGATGTTTTACTCCATAATACGGATAACACAACAGTTGGAAAACAACAAATCGATGAAACAGTTCCAGTTTGAAATGCCCAGTTCAAGTCAATTGTTGTCTTTTTGATGACCATTCCCATTGGAACAATTAAAATTGTAACAACAAGAATTGCCCATGTTTTATATCCTGAAAGATTACAAAACATTTACAGACATATTTCACGCAAAATTAAACCAATATTGCAAATTATTTACATACAAAGAAATAATATACAATACCCCTTTCCTCAAATATGCCAAAATAAAAAAATATTTTGACCCTGTTGAGATCGATCGATCCTTAATAAACCACTCAACTATTCAATTGAATGGGTGTATACATTCTAAAGTCACTTTGTATAATTGATGAATGGTGATTCTTTGGTAACAAGTTACATGTTGTACATATATACTTTTGAACACGGAAAAAAGTTCTCCCACGCTTGTTTGCATTTACAATACTCATTTAGTTTGATATCTTAATAAGTGTCTACTTAATCTTACTTCTTAATATGTCTTGATATTGTCTATATTTGCCATGAGTCTGACATCCGTACATGTGCGGGATGCTGTCTGAAGACTCCCTGATCATTATATCGTCGTCTCTACAACCCGCACATAAATTTGGAATAACACACTTGCATTCGACTGATGATTCCGGTGACTCTGGTTGTGCATATGGTTTGTCACATAATGGGCAAAGGTCTATGTTATGATCCTTCCTACAATATAATCATAATACTAATTAACCTTTTGATGTAGGTTGTTAATTTGAACAGATTAAAATAGGTCTTGAAAGCAAAACAGCGGGCCTTTTTATACAATTTAAGATATTACTATTTTAAGAGTCAATGAAAGGTGGTTATACAATTTATGTAAAAAGCTTAGGAGTGGACCTAGTAATTCAGCAAAAATATACATTTTTGCTTCGTTAGTTACTGAGAAAAACTTCTTCAAAAACTGAAATGCAAAGAGATCCGATTTTGTATAAGACAACTAACCCCTACGGTTCCTACATTTATCCCTCTGTGGTGGTATATTTGGTATTGTAGTATAGGACTTAGATGAAAACATATTTAAACTTGTTTTTAAAGTGTTTTTTTTCTTTTATTCATGTATATGTTTCTGTTTTTTAAAACTTTGTTTAGATCATTTTACAATATTACAATATCTGCAAAAATGATAATTAACTAATTTGATTTTTGAACATTATTTCAATAGTTTACAAATATAATATACCATAAGTTATTTAATCACTAATTAAAATAGGTATAGCTAGTGTCTTGTACCTTATAGCCAACGATTCCAGTCTTATACTCTTTCAAGCTTAATTCATTCTTAAAATGATCAAGTACATAATTTTCGAGTTGATCACATTAATAACTTTGTGACATTGACAGGAAAGAACAAATGTCTATAGTCTTCTACCTGTCCAGAAATATCACACTTATCATTAACACTTATTTTCCATCTAAGAAGTACGAGGGTTGCTCAAAAGGTTTTGCGAAAATATATCTAATTGTGAGAATAATGGACCAATCTTGTTCATAGTTGGTTTGAATGTGCCCATGTGTTATTCCCTTACACTGTCAAAGTTTCATTTATATACACCTACTACTTAAAATTTTACGATTGATGGTGACGGTGATGACGCTACTGTCAATATCATTTTGTAAAAGTTAACTTAAGTAAGACATGAAGATCAATGTACCTAAGAATGCTAGATTAACTTATATAAACTGTCAACTTGAATTCAAACAATTTCAAGTATTGTTCTCATGGCAAATGTAAATCTTATCTCAATATTTCCCATCTTGTCTTTTTTGGTCATGTCGAAGAATGACCGTAAACTTACTCTTCAAATATCTTGAACAAATGGACCCCATTGGTTCAAATTTTTAAGTTTATGTTAGTTAATAATGTCGTAGGAAGTATATTGCTTATGGTCCTGAAAGTACTTATAAGCTTGGTAAGAAGGGTAATACTATATCTGTATCAAATTTCACATTAAAATGTTAAAATCTCTTGAGAAGCTATCGTGCAAAACCTTTTGAACGACCCTTGTAATCGCATGGTAAAATGTAATGTAAAAGTTTGTAATTAAAACTAGCCACTTTTTTATTCTTGGATTGCTGAAATAGTATCCAAGTCTGTTGAAGCAATGGCTGACTATTTTGAATTTCACAAAGATTAACCCAAAATGATTCCAAATATGTTTTAAAATTTGTTGTTTCAAACATTATTGTGCCATATCACCATATATCTAATTTCTGCAAAGCTTACGTTGTGAGTGTTTGATTCTGAGCCTCCAAGAATACTCCAAGCATGGGGAATAGCTGGGTAAACTTGAGGCAAGACATTAAAATAACTAAATATATTCTTAGGTTTTCCATAAGTAGATCTAAATAGTAGAGTATCTGGGAGTCAAGTTTAACTTAATATCTCTCTTGCTAAAATTTTCCAACTTGCTTGTTTATTTTGTGGAAAATTATTTAATTGATTAAGACCTATCATATGCTATATTATTCTAATCAAAAGGCAAGACAGATAAAGCATTTGTAACATGTAACTATTGAGGTAAGAACCCTTGTCTAGGTTTATTATGTTCATCACTTTGAGACGTTGTACATCTTTTATACCTTGAAATTCATCCAGTTGAGACCTCTTATTTCACGATTCTTCCATTTTTAATGTTTCGGAAACAAAAAACCTTAAAACACGGTTGAATATGTTGTTCAACTTAATTCTTTACTACAAGTCCAAATATAGAGTGAGAAATGTAAGAACCATTGGGGTGAGCTAAAGTTATATGAAGTATTACTAGGTCCACTCCTAAGCTTTTTACATGAATTTTATAACTACCTCGTTTTGTTTCATAGTCAAGTTTCATAAGAACTATTTGTGCAAGTCGTTCTTAAAATGGTTAATTATTAATGTTATTTCTATGTTTCTCTTGAATTAGATAAAAAGATCAATGGTATTCAAAGAAATTAAAAAAATACCATAGATAGAGGTGTGCATGGGAGTGGGGGGGGGGGGTTGTAACCCTTCAATATCGGGTACCATGGGATACGATATGGCAATGTTAACATCAAAATAAGTAAAGTAGTCATCCTGTAGGTATACAACTGTAATTAGAAATTTGTTTAGCAAGATTGCACGGAACCCCACTTCCTACTTAACTAATACTCTGTTTCTCTTTGAATCTTACTTGAATGGATTAATATATGTCTGGTATATATCATAGATGATGATTGATGCAACAGCCATCACCTCTCCAGAACCCGTTGACATCAGAGCCATACAAACCATAGACAGAATCATCACTTCACCCCACACACCCATCACACTGTGTAAAACAGCAGGGGGAACAATTCCTAAGCGTAAATAAAATGAGACACTCTCAATAAATAAACACAAGGAACGCATGCTTTTCGAACTCGGCCCAATGCTTCCTGTTCCCATACGACTAGCTCGACAACACAAAAATTGTTTAATTAGTCGATCTGACTAGAGGCAGTGGATGTAATCAAAACATCTCGCATTTACTATCCATTGTCATAAAATACCTAGTAGAGCTATTTAATACTTCCAACAAATCCAGTTCTTTTGTGAAACAGATAAGCTACTACTTTTTGTAACTTGAAAATGTGAGAATGTGGGCAGAGTTAACTGAATTGGCACATTTCGCTCAAGGACCGAACGTTGTATTGTAACCTTGCAAGGAAAACAAAAACTAAGAATGCTAGGAATGACAAACATAATTACCCTACTCTCTTTGGTCAGCAGTCAGTCTGCTCATCTTTCAAGACTTAGGCTGTGGAGCAACATGATTGTTGTAGCAAGAATGAAGGATATGATAAACATAATTACCCTGATCTGTTTGGGCAGTAGACAATCTGTCTGCTCCACTTTCAAGACTTAGGCTGTGGAACAACATGATTGTTGTAGCAAGAATGAAGGATATGATAAACATAATTACCCTGATCTGTTTGGGCAGTAGTCAGTCTGTCTGCTCCACTTTCAAAACTTAGGCTGTGGAGCAACATGATTGTTGTAGCAAGAATGAAGGATATGATAAACATAATTACCCTGATCTGTTTGGGCAGTAGTCAGTCTGTCTGCTCCACTTTCAAGACTAAGGCTGTGGAACAACATGATTGTTGTAGCAAGAATGAAGGATATGATAAACATAATTACTCTGATCTGTTTGGGCAGTAGTCAGTCTGTCTGCTCCACTTTCAAGACTTAGGCTGTGGAACAACATGATTGTTGTAACAAGAATCAAGGAAATGATAAACATAATAACCCTGATCTCTTTGGGCAGTAGGCTGTCTGTCTGCTCCACTTTCAAGACTTAGGCTGTGGAACAACATGATTGTTGTAGCAAGAATCAAGGATATAATAAACATTATTACCCTGATCTGTTTGGGCAGTAGACAATCTGTCTGCTCCACTTTCAAGACTTAGGCTGTGGAACAACATGATTGTTGTAACAAGAATCAAGGAAATGATAAACATAATAACCCTGATCTCTTTGGGCAGTAGGCTGTCTGTCTGCTCCACTTTCAAGACTTAGGCTGTGGAACAACATGATTGTTGTAACAAGAATCAAGGAAATGATAAACATAATTACCCTTATCTCTTTGGGCAGCAGTCAGTCTGTCTGCTCCACTTTCAAGACTTAGGCTGTGGAACAACATGATTGTTGTAACAAGAATCAAGGAAATGATAAACATAATAACCCTGATCTCTTTGGGCAGTAGGCTGTCTGTCTGCTCCACTTTCAAGACTTAGGCTGTGGAACAACATGATTGTTGTAGCAAGAATGAAGGATATGATAAAGATAATAACCCTGATCTCTTTGGACAGTAGACAGTCTGTCTGCTCCACTTTCAAGACTCAGGCTGTGGAACAACATGATTGTTGTAGCAAGAATCAAGGATATAATAAACATTATTACCCTAATCTGTTTGGGCAGTAGTCAGTCTGTCTGCTCCACTTTCAGGACTTAGGCTGTGGAACAACATGATTGTTGTAGCAAGAATCAAGGATATAATAAACATTATTACCCTGATCTGTTTGGGCAGTAGACAATCTGTCTGCTCCACTTTCAAGACTAAGGCTGTGGAACAACATGATTGTTGTAGCAAGAATGAAGGATATGATACACATAATAACCCTGATCTCTTTGGACAGTAGACAGTCTGTCTGCTCCACTTTCAAGACTTAGGCTGTGGAACAACATGATTGTTGTAGCAAGAATCAAGGAAATGATAAACAGAATTACCATCATCATCTCTTCAGGCATCAGTAAGTGTGTCTGATCCACTATCAAGGCTCAGGCTGAGGAACAACATGCTTGCTGTAGTTGCAAGAATATAATGAATGATTAACATATTGTAACGTCTGGCCTAATTTGTGGTAGTGTGGATGTTGTTATTAATCAGACCAGGTTACTTCGTAGGATACTTGGTACACGTTAAATGTACGCATGAATAAAGAGACACAATATTTAATATAAAATTAACAACATATATTCTGGCTTCTTACGCCTCAAAAATAATACAATATAAATCGATAGTTAATCAATGTTTCAGTTTCAGAGATGCTGTTATCAGAGTCCTTTATGCAATACTACTTGTATATTTATAGTAAAGTGTCTATCACAAATGTTTATAGTCTTGTCCTGAACAGCAATTCTCATATATGCACATTTATCCGAAGTCCTTTAACTGAAGTTGCATGGAACTCTACTAAGTTCCTCAGATGAGCAATGAATATCCTAAGTCCATCAACCAAAATATGAAGTTCATCTAACTAGCGATGACTATTCCAAGTCCTTCAAGTTGGCAAATTCATCAAGTAATGGATGTAAGAAATCTAGAAAGTTCCTCTAGCCAGCGATGAATATTCTAAGTCCATCAAGTTATAGATGTGTGATATCTACAAAGTTCCTCTAATCAGCGATGAATATTCTAAGTCCATCAGATATATGCGTGAATATTCCTTAAGTTCCTCTGGGCATCAAACTCCAGGCAACTATTGTGAATATTGGCTAAGTCCCTCAATATATGCGAATAATCCTCTAGATTATATCCTCTAAGTGGATCTACCTAAAAATCTGCTAAGTCCATCTACAGGTGTGTCGAATCTGTCTCAAGATCCTCGAAATACCTCTGGGTAAAATCCTCTAAGTCCCTCAATGGGTTTGTCGAATCTGCCTAAGATCCTCTAAGTATACCAGGGTAATATCCACTAAGTACCGCAGGTTAATTCCTCTTAAGTGCCTCTCAGTATTTGTAGAATCTGCCTAAGATCCTCTAGGTACATCAGGGTAAAATCATCTAAGTCCCTCAATATATGTGATGAAAATCTTCTAAGTTCATCAGATATATGCGTAGAATTAGCCTAAGTCCATCAAGCGTCAATTCCTGGAGGCACACAGGTCTGTCCTCGCTCAGTTCCAGCTAGAAAATGCCTGCTGAGTCACCTGGTCGTCTCTATTTATACCCCAGACATGTATGTAACATGTACTAGGTTTTGCACACGAACCTATCAAGTGATTAATGGGCTGATGCAATACCTAGGCCCCTGGACAGGACAAGACTGGTGTACAATTATTATGATGCAATCAGGATATGAATAGTGCAAAATAACTGGCTTCATTTAGGACTCATAATCTGTGCTATCTAATGTAACATTAATACATGTTTAGTATATAATTAACTAGATAAATGTATAAACTAAATAAATATAACATAAACCAATCTTCATTGGTTATTATCATGCCGAAATTGACCGAAAAAACTGGTAATTGAATGTAGGTCAAGATAGCTCTTCAATAGTAAGGTGAGAAAAATGTAAACAAATGAAAGCAAAAAGAAATCTCACAAAATCGAACAGTTTACATGATTCTGCCTACTCCTTTAGTGTCACATACATTCATGTAAGTATACTACTTGTCAAACAAACTGAAAAACAGTTTCCAAATGTGTTAACTGTAAGCGAACTGATAAAATGGCACAGGACTACAAAGAACAGAAAATTTGAAAAGTAAAAATTTGTTACACTCCTCCCATCCAATGATTTTGGTGTTAACAACACCAAGCCTAAGTACACAAAAGATAACAAATTTTTCCTAACTAGCTATAATACAAACTAACAAAATGTGTTTAACCCCGGGGTTAACTAACTACCTCTTTATGTAATGTACAATTAAAGTTGTCTAAATCTGGTTTATCGCAAACCTTAACACAAGTAACTATCTAACTATCTAATAATTTCCATACAAAAGTAACTTTTCACAAGTTACAACCCTATCTAAGTATCATGATCTCTACTAAGTATGACAAAATTATACTTAAGCTAAATGTCCTTTCAGGAAATAAGTAACCCAGGCTCTGCACTCAAGCTAGTTTCATGTTCGGAGAATAATGATAGTTTCGCCAATCACTATCCGTATCACTTCTTTGTCGAGTCCTGTGGTACCTTCCCCTGTAAACTTTTGCTCGTGGCACTTTAACTGGACAAGAACTGGTTATGCACACATTACTGGAAGGATTATAGTCGTAACCATCTCTGTCACTGGCATCTTTGCACAATACCTTGCCCATGGTATCTCTCTGTCCTCTAAACTGGGAACTATCTGCTTTGTCCAAGGTCACTCTCTTAGGTGATCGTTGTGGTTGTGACACCTCTCTTGTAGGTTCTGGTCCAGCAAACCTCCTGTCCTCGATTTTTCTGTGTTGGTCAGTTGACATTTTGACATCAAGATCTTGTTCTTGAGCAACTTTGGAATTTCTTGGTCCCATAGTCATTGTACACCGACCATAGTCTAATATGGCTCTAGAAGCTGCCAAGAAATCTGTACCCAAAATCCCATCGAACTGAATGTCAGCCACCACTACAGTTAAGGTTTCTTCATGATCATCAATACTGACACCTATTTGTATAACACCTTTTACACCTAATGCTTCTCCACCAGCTTGTACAATGACCTTCTTTGGTGGCTCCATCTTGGGTCTTTTGTGTTCAGGCATCTTTCGGTAAACCTCTGAACTGAGGATAGTGCTAACCGCCCCAGAGTCCACCAAGAATGCAACATCGGTGTCACATACTCTCCCATTGGCAACTATCTTCTGAGTGTCTTTGAAGGACTTTACATTTTCCCCCTGTAACGATTGGAATCTCACTGTTGCTACTTGGCTAGATTTCACTGGGGTTTCTTTAGTCTGCTCTTCTGCACGTTTTCTTGAGTAACAATCTGCTATTTTGTGACCAATCTTATTACAATAAAAACACTTAAATTTTCTAACAGGTTGACCAGTCGTCTCAGGTTCAGTCTTATTCGGTTTGGCCAGTAATTCAATCATTCTTTCTAAGTTTCGACTACACTCTGCTTGTATACTTTTCTGAGTGTCCAACTTAATGCCCTCAACTAGCTTGAAAAGTTTTTGTAGTTCATCATCTTTATCCTCCAGGGCATTTACTTGGCTCCACTTAGGTTTTTGGCCCTTTCGTATCCTCTCAGATTCGATATATGATTCTTCTTTAAGGGCTACTTCAATGGCTTTGTCTAGTGTACTGCAATCCTTTGTACGTATAGCCCGTCTTATCTCCTCCTCAAGTATAGCCTGCTCGAAGCTGCGTCTAGCCAGACGGTCTTGTGCAGTTCGGCTCATTTCAGGGTATGCCAAGGACGTAAGTCTCCTTATATCTTGGCCTAAACTTTGCAAGGTTTCCTTAGGCTTACGAATTCGACCTACCAGCTCAGCCTCGTAAACTTCGGCCTTGCCCCCAGGACCAAAGCGTTTTTCTAAAGCCAACAGAAGTTGCTCATAGCTATAATCTTGGCCCATCTCCAGAACCATTTGCTGGGCAGGGCCACGGAGGCTTGTGGCCAAGAATCGTCTCTTGTCTTCTTCCGTCCAATTGTTTGCCTCAGCACAAATTTCAAAGTAGGCTCTATAGTCCTGCCATGGTGTAGTCCCATTGTAAACATCTGGCTTAATTCTGCTTTTACTGGCCTTTTCAGAGTTATCTTTTGAAACTTTATCACATAGCTTCGAACACATCTTGATGAGCTCTGTAGATAGATCAGAACCATTGGTGGTCTCTGTCTTCACAAGTCCATCATCCACTGTATTATCCTGATTTGAACTAGAAGCAATCTTTTCACCAGAGTAATGTGGGAAGTTGTGAACAGAGGTGAAGTCAACATGTTCACTAACAAGCCTGTCCTCTAGCTGACTTAGTCCTCCTGGGTCTTTAGGCTGCTGGCTAAGACCTTTAGCATGGTGCTCCATCAGTTCCTCACCAGGTCTCAAGGAATTTCTATCTTGTTTAATTAGTTTCCGTGGCCTTTTTACACCTGAAGCCAGTGGGGTTTGTGTGAAACTGTCCCTAGACCTAGTGGTCAGTCGACTTCTATCTGTTGGATATTCATCCCTTCCAGCAGAAATCACAGGAGACTTGGCTACATGTGATGAATGACTTCGAAAATTACCAAGCAGTTGTGGCTTCTCTGATATATCAGGTGCACCTAACTCAATAGAAAGGCTATGCTGAAGCTTTTCAATGATAGAATTCTCCATGGTCTGTTGAAAATTTTTCATCTGACCCTCCAGGCCCTGAAACTGTACCTCTTGCTTGTCCTGGCTACATCGAACTTGTTCTGCGATCTGATGAATATTCTGTATCTGAGTCTTCTGAGACTCAGTAAGTCCTAGCATGAGACTCTTCTGGGTATTGACTACTTGTGTCATACATTCCTGTTGGGTCTCGGCTAGTTTTTGCATCTGTTTCTGTTGAGCTATCATAGCCTCACTCAATACATCCATTCTGGATTCCAACTTTCCCTGGATCCAATTTAAGTTTTGTCTCATTCTGTCCTCCCTTTCTCTTAAACTAACTGATTGTCTATCAGCTGCAGTTGAAGTGAGATGAAATCCATGCCTCCTCTGAGGTTTTTCATCATCACTACTGATGGGAGAAGTGTCTAAGACTTTCCCTGTCCAGTACCCTGTACTCCAAAGACTGGGTAATCCCATCTCTCTTGTATCCAGTTTCACAGTCTTCAGTCTGGGTCCTGGAGACTCTCCTCGTGTAAGGTCATACCCCGGCACGGGTATGGTATTATCATCCACTCTAGGGTTATCTATACCAACATTGTCAGTCTTCCGAATGGTCTCTGATTCCAGGTCTGTCATGTCCTCCACAACTGAAGGAGATGGAAGATCCTGCTCTTTCTCCATGCTCTTAATATGGCATCAATTCTTATATCATATCTCGAAATTCACACAATCCCACCGCTGCCACCAGTGTAACGTCTGGCCTAATTTGTGGTAGTGTGGATGTTGTTATTAATCAGACCAGGTTACTTCGTAGGATACTTGGTACACGTTAAATGTACGCATGAATAAAGAGACACAATATTTAATATAAAATTAACAACATATATTCTGGCTTCTTACGCCTCAAAAATAATACAATATAAATCGATAGTTAATCAATGTTTCAGTTTCAGAGATGCTGTTATCAGAGTCCTTTATGCAATACTACTTGTATATTTATAGTAAAGTGTCTATCACAAATGTTTATAGTCTTGTCCTGAACAGCAATTCTCATATATGCACATTTATCCGAAGTCCTTTAACTGAAGTTGCATGGAACTCTACTAAGTTCCTCAGATGAGCAATGAATATCCTAAGTCCATCAACCAAAATATGAAGTTCATCTAACTAGCGATGACTATTCCAAGTCCTTCAAGTTGGCAAATTCATCAAGTAATGGATGTAAGAAATCTAGAAAGTTCCTCTAGCCAGCGATGAATATTCTAAGTCCATCAAGTTATAGATGTGTGATATCTACAAAGTTCCTCTAATCAGCGATGAATATTCTAAGTCCATCAGATATATGCGTGAATATTCCTTAAGTTCCTCTGGGCATCAAACTCCAGGCAACTATTGTGAATATTGGCTAAGTCCCTCAATATATGCGAATAATCCTCTAGATTATATCCTCTAAGTGGATCTACCTAAAAATCTGCTAAGTCCATCTACAGGTGTGTCGAATCTGTCTCAAGATCCTCGAAATACCTCTGGGTAAAATCCTCTAAGTCCCTCAATGGGTTTGTCGAATCTGCCTAAGATCCTCTAAGTATACCAGGGTAATATCCACTAAGTACCGCAGGTTAATTCCTCTTAAGTGCCTCTCAGTATTTGTAGAATCTGCCTAAGATCCTCTAGGTACATCAGGGTAAAATCATCTAAGTCCCTCAATATATGTGATGAAAATCTTCTAAGTTCATCAGATATATGCGTAGAATTAGCCTAAGTCCATCAAGCGTCAATTCCTGGAGGCACACAGGTCTGTCCTCGCTCAGTTCCAGCTAGAAAATGCCTGCTGAGTCACCTGGTCGTCTCTATTTATACCCCAGACATGTATGTAACATGTACTAGGTTTTGCACACGAACCTATCAAGTGATTAATGGGCTGATGCAATACCTAGGCCCCTGGACAGGACAAGACTGGTGTACAATTATTATGATGCAATCAGGATATGAATAGTGCAAAATAACTGGCTTCATTTAGGACTCATAATCTGTGCTATCTAATGTAACATTAATACATGTTTAGTATATAATTAACTAGATAAATGTATAAACTAAATAAATATAACATAAACCAATCTTCATTGGTTATTATCATGCCGAAATTGACCGAAAAAACTGGTAATTGAATGTAGGTCAAGATAGCTCTTCAATAGTAAGGTGAGAAAAATGTAAACAAATGAAAGCAAAAAGAAATCTCACAAAATCGAACAGTTTACATGATTCTGCCTACTCCTTTAGTGTCACATACATTCATGTAAGTATACTACTTGTCAAACAAACTGAAAAACAGTTTCCAAATGTGTTAACTGTAAGCGAACTGATAAAATGGCACAGGACTACAAAGAACAGAAAATTTGAAAAGTAAAAATTTGTTACAATATTTACCTTCATCTACTTGAGCAGCAGTCAGTATATCTGCTCCATTTTCAAGACTCAGGCTGTGGAACAGCATGCTTGTTGTAGTTGCAAGAATCAAAGGAATGATAAACCAAATGAATCCTGCTATCAGGAAACCAATCACTCCTTAAAACAATAAACAACAGGATTCTAATGGCAACTTGTTAATAAGAATGAGTATCAATATCAAGGGGGTATACAAATGATATTACAAAACACATCAATGTAAGCATGCGTTTTGTTAGGGTAAATGAAGAAGATTTTACAGATAGAAAAACATTATACATGTACACAACTCATCTGCAGTATCCAATATAATGATATTATACTTTATTGTACTATATTATATACAGGGTAAGCCAAAAAGGTAGCCCAAAGGAATCCGAATAGCTCAGTAATCTTGTATTCGTTTGCAGTCATATTTGTAACAATCACACCTTGTTAAGGTTTTGTTCATTCAATTAAGTTCTGTTGGTCTGTTTAAAATAATCACGGTTTAATGCCGCGCTTGTCTTTAAAGGCAAATTTTAACTCATCGGGTTAAATTTTCTTACTACACGCTCACGGATATCTTATGTAATTGCTCTCATTTTCCCTTGTATCTCTTGTTTCGACTAGTTGATGCTTCCTGGGTTAGTGATATACATATTATCTTTGAAAAAGCCCCACATATAAAATTCTGGGGGTTCATTTTGGTATTTTTTGTTTGGGTTACCCTTTTTCTTGCTCACCCTCTAATTTTCTAGGTGAAATATATTTTTATTATTTCAAAGAAACGTACTGCCACAACCTGATCAATATGCAACCATGTTTAAATTTGACCAAACTTTGGCATATTATTTTTATACTCTTGATTTACACAATCGAGTTACCTTGTAGAGGCTTAGCTGCTATTCTCATTTGCCATGATGCTTGATCACAAAATGTAACGGAGGAAGCCAAAAATATTCCAATGACTCCAAAAATGACAGCGCCTGTTGACCTAAATGTTAATAAGCTTCTTTGTTCATTTCCATCTGGTCCTAGCACACAGGTCAGTTGACCATGTAGTCTTTCCAATGACCCAATAGAATCTTCAGGATGCAGATAGAAGACAGTTGATGTAATCACGAGAAGCATGATGTAGATCAAAGCTGTGTTAAAATACGAAACATAAAATGTCGCGCCAAGCCCTCCCACAAGAGAGAAGGAACCGAATATGAAGGCAATTAGCAAAATCGCTAGCTCTGTAGACATTGACTGAGCTGTTGAAGTGAACGTAGCAGTTCCAGCCAGAATCAAACATGTGAGGATTACCATGTTTGTAACCAAGGCAAAGAATGTCGATACTATATGTGCGCTGCTCCCAAACCTAGCATAAATCACCTGCCAAAAGATTGAATTTCTTACAATTATTAATTGGTAACTTAAATATACACGACTGCAATGAGATCACAAGCCCACACTCATATAAACAGTCACGTGTATGCTAATATTAGTACTTATCAAATTACACACTATATTGGAGAAATGATCCATAGAGCAAATACGAAGTGACTTTTAACATTCCATATACAGATTGGTCATTGTAATGATATAACAATGTATACTTTTAGATACTATAAGACACTAGTTACCTGGAGAAATGTCTTGGCACCAGGGGCGCGAGTCTTGAAGTGAACAGATAGCAGTGGAAATAAAATTACATTAGTCACAACACCCACTGCATACCAGAATGACCCTGCCAACCCATACTGTAATAAACATGTTTCAATTTACAATTTTACAATGAAGGACACAAAATATATTGCGCCCGAGAAAATAAATATTTCATGAAGACCCGGGAATTGAAATGTATCATTTTGAGGGATATCAAGACGTGCAGAATATCAAAAAGCTTAGTATGCTAGTTCATGTCTTAGTTTAGTTGCTATTCATGTCATAAATATTCATATATTCGACATCACCACAACACAATGCTAAATGAAGCGAGTCAACGCACCTGACTTTATGCAGATTGTCTCACAGGTTTAACAATTATTTTGCTCTCCCAAAGAGATCATTGGAACGCATGCAGTGACATACAATAATATCATGTATCACATGAGTATCAATACCAAATCTAGTACACAATACCTTTGTGGCAATAGTAGCACTCTGAAGCAAATCTGCTGGCCAGAATGTCTGAGAGGCGGCAGATACTGCAATCAGGGCAATTGTAACATTTCCTGTAAGATAGATACAATATATTACATTTGTATGATAGTGATATTGTGATACTACAATCACCCTTACATTCCCTGTAAGATACATATAAGATTATTAGATTTGTATGATAGTGATATTGTGATACTGTAATCAGGGCGATTGTTACATTTCCTGTAAGATACATATACGATTATTGTATGATATTGATATTGTGATACTGTAAGCACCCTTAAATTTCCTGTAAGATACATATAATATTATTACATTTGTATGATAGTGATATTGTGATATTATAATCAGGGCGATTGTTATATTTCCTGTAAGATACATATAAGATTATTACATTTCTATGATAGTGATATTGTGATACTGCAATCACCCTTACATTTCCTTTAAGATACATATACGATTCTTACATGTAAAGAAATAATGTCTAACACCCCATTCCCTCTCCAATACAAGATCTTAATACAAGATACGTTACGACGACGATACATAAAACTGGAGACTTTAAGCTTGCAATGTTTTTCACAACGAAACATTAATATTACATTAAGTCTGATACATGAAAATGGTTCCGAAGACTCTGGAATATTTTGCAATCTTAAAAGTCAAACTTTTACTTTTTAAATTTACTTGCCTCCGGCATCAAATGCTGTATCCACTCGATCTTCATCATGGAATATGTACTTTCTAAGCAGAAAATGCCCCAAGCTCAACAGCAGGGCAAATCCACCGAATCCAACTGCAATAATTAGTGCCGATTCCCATTCTTTAAGAGTTGCAAATGATGTCTTCGGCTCACTGAGGAGAAACAACAATAATATGGTTGAATCATTTCACCATAGTACGCCTCGAATGCTTTTGATTGTAACTTTGACAAGTGATTTGAATACTTTACCCTGTTCGTTTTGTAATAAAAGTTGGCACATATAATCTAGACATGATTTACAATGTTTGACATTTTGATTTCACTGAATGTGAGTCCATTATAACAACTTGATATCTAGATTCAGACCTACCAACTTTAAATGAAAATTTTGCGGAAGATTAAAACAGGTAATGGTATTTTGCAGTAAATCATTCCAGAAATCCGGAAGTTTTTTTCTACCAAAAATGAGCAAAAATGTAGCCATTAAGTTAAGAAAAGGGGAATTATCTCGGGTGTTTTTTAAAGTAGATTTTGCGCTAATTTTTTTAGAAAAGACAGCGGTATTTGCAATAGACTTTGCAAAAACGGTCATTTTTTCCAGTAGATTTGTGACTGTAGTTTAATATGGTTTAATCCCGACTAAGGTAGCAACATAAAATAATGAACCGTATCTTATTTTTAAAAATGTCCAGCTATTACAAAGGAGAGTGCATTATTTTTCTATTTCAAAGAATGCACACTTGGCTAGCTATTCAAAATTAGAACACAAATGTGTACAACATGTCCCCACCAATGGGTGATCATATGTACTGCAAATCCTGAATGAAAAGACAAGATTCCAAGAGAAAAATCAGTTCCACTATTTTTATCCTAAGAATCATTCCTGAAAATTTAAAATTGATTCCTCAAACGGTTAACCTGAAAACGCGCAGACAAGATTTTACAGACAAGATTTTAGGACGGAAAAATCCAAAATGGCTGCCTTAACATTTACCCAGAAGGCTGAAAAACTAATTAGTTCTAGATTTTCATATTATAAATCATTCCTTAAATTTGAAATTGATCCGTCAAACTGTTATCCTGAAAATTGGTAGACAAGCCTTCACAGACACAATAATAGGACGGAAAAGCCAGAATGGCCAACTTAAATTTACGTAGAATGACGAAAAGTAATCAGTTCTAGATTTTCATACTAAGAATCATTCCTAAAAATTCGAAATTGATCCCTCAAACAGTTAACCTGAAAATGCATAGACAAGACTCCACGGACAAGATTTTAGGACGGAAAATCCAAAATGGCTCCCTTAACATTTACCAAAAATGCCGAAAAACTAATCAAATCTAGATTTTCATACTAAAAATCATCCCTGAAAATTTGAAATTGATCCGTCAAATGGTTATCCTGAAAATGAGTAGACAAGACTTTACCGACACAATTTTAGGACGGAAAATCTAAAATGGTCACATTAAAATTTACCCAGAATGCCCAAAAATTAGCCAGTTCTATATTTTTATACTAAAAACCACCCCTGAAAATTTGAAATTGATCCGTTAAACAGTTAACCAGAAAACGCGTAGATAAGACTTTACAGACAAGATTTTAGGACGGAAAATCCAAAATGGCTGCCTTGACATTTACTCAGAATGCCAAAAAACTAATCAGTTCTAGATTTTTATTCTAAGAATCATCCCTGAAAATTTGAAATTGATCTATTAAACAGTTCACCTGAAAACGCGCAGACAAGACTTTACAGACAAGATTTTAGGATGGAAAAATTCAAAATGGCTGACAATAAAAAAGTGATTATGAGTTTTTGCTGATTTCTTTTTAAAAAATTATCACATATAACTACTGTTAACAATAACACAGGCCTTTACAACATAGTACATCTGAAATTATTTATAAAGCTACTAAATAGTAAAGTATGAAAACTCAAAAACACCATTCAAAATGATACAAAGTATTATCGCGCGCCAACTTTTCTTAAGACATTCAAAATGGCTGCCATTACTGAGCTCACAGGTCCAAAACCTAATTAGATGTAGAATGAAGTGAGTTGAACAAGATGTTAAAGTTAACATTACGTCTTAAGTCTTACGATTGACTGTCACCATACCTGCCAACCTAAGACCCAAATTTTGGGGTCGATTTTTTTAAAATTGCTGTATTTTTGCGGTATATTTTTTCAAAATGCGGTAGATTTTGCTGTATTTTTCAACATAAATGCGGTAGTTTTTGCGGTAGATTTAAAAAACGGTAGTTTTTGCGGTAGATTAAAAAAACGGTAGTTTTTGCGGTAATTTTTTTAAAAAACTGTGGTTTTGCGGTATATTTTAAAAAAATACTGTAGTTTCAGAGGTTTGGGGTAGATTTTTGAAGAAAGTGTAATTTTGCGGTAGAAATTTAAAAAAGCGGTAGTTTTACAGAAGATTTAGAAAAAATGCGGTCGTTTTACGGTAGATTTTTAAAAATACGGTATTTTACGGTAGTTTTTTGAAAAATCGGTAGTTTTGCGTAAGATTCTGAAAAATGCGGTAGTTTTACGGTAGGTTTTGAAAAAATGCTGTAGTTTTTTGAAAAACCGGTAGTTATGTGGAAGATTTTGAAAAAATGCTGTAGTTTTACGGTAGATTTCGAAAAATGCGGTAGTTTTTATGGTAATTTTTTTAAAAAACGGTACTTTTGCGGAAGATTTGCAAAAGATGCGATACTTTTACGGTAGATTTTGAAAAAATGCGGTAGTTTTTGCGGTAGTTTTTTGCGGTAGTTTTTGCGGTGGATTTCTAAAAAACTAATGAATAAAACAGTATGTTAACACTGTTATCACACCCAACTAGTTCCCACCAGGTTTTCGAAAACGGGCTTAAACTGTGCACGAACGGATTTAACGTACTAAGAACCCACTAAGAACCGTTTGGGATCTGTTACAAACTTCATGAAACTACTCGAACGAGTAGGTCCTCCAGCACTTAGAGCATGCTCAAAATTTTCTGGTGATCGTCATGTTCTGCAATCAGCACGAGTGATAACGTACTTAAGACAACCTGGACGCACTGGGGACACACTACGAACGGAAGTGTCGTTCTTCAATCCTACTAGGGACGTATTACGACGTTGTGTAGTCAGGCGTAAATTGCAGCCGTGAGTACCCAATCTAGTCCGTTTGTAGCTCGATCATTCTGTTCTACAGACCCAACTCGACCTAATAAAAATAAATGCGTTCTGCACGGATTAGGGACACGATGTTTACTATTTAAGAACGAGTTCAACCGTATGGAAATTTGGTGGATAATTCAGTAACATATTAGGACGTATTGAGAACGAGGTACAACTAATTGTCAACTGGTTTAAACTGAATAAGGACGTAATTGAACTGCTTGATTACGTTGTGTAGACCAGACGAACGCACAATTTGACCCCATCTAAACTTTATACTAACGTACTGCAGACGGAATAAAGACGAGATGAACGTATTAAAAACTGCTTATGAACGAATTAACAAAAATAGCTATCACACCAGAACCAGTTGTCACTGCGTTCTGCAAAACGTTGCCGAATCGGTTTTAAACTGTGTGCGAACTGAATGAACGTAGCTGCAACGTTCTACGGTTTGTTTACGAACTTCATGGACTTTCCCGGACGGGGAATGTGATTTAGAATTTTGAATCGATTCAATATCCTGCCGATACCTTATATTCGGTTTGGTAAAGGAATATTACAGGGACAGTACAGAAAGACTTCAATCTTAAGCATTTTCAAACAAAAACGGGAGATTTTACGGTAGTTTGAACAAAAATACTGTTGATTTTAGCAGAAATACGGTAGATTTTCAAACATTTACGGTAATTTTCAAAAATTTACGGTAGATTTTACGGCCGTTCTCATGAAAAAACGAGTTCTTAAATAAATTTACGGTAGATTTCCGAAAAAATACGGTAGATTTTTTTCGGGCGTTTTTACGGGGAAAAAATGGCATTTTTTACGGTAGTTTGTCATTTTTTACGGAAAAACGAAAAAGTTACGGTAGATTCCCGTAAAAATACGGTAGGTTGGCGGTATGGTCACACAAAGGAGTGCACTAAAGTTGAATTAATCATACCCTATTCACTATTCTAATAGTTGATGGAATTGTTTTTATTCTCCTAAGGTACTTCCATGCCAAAGGGGACATTTGCATCATAAAATGAAGTCCAAATGTAGTTAACCCACCTACTATATGCACTTTTTGTTTACAAAAACATGTTTCCTACGCGTAAGCATATTCTACATAAGGGTTGCACCAGCCCGATATATGAGAGTGCGGAGGTTTTCAAATATATTCTGATGCCAGTGAAGCTTATACATTTTCGCACGTTTTCGTACTATTCCTGCATACGTTTTCACTTGTTGAGCACTTGTCAACATTACCATTTATTAATTTTTGAGGGATTTAACAGGGGTCCACAAAAAATAAAAAATATTAGATTTTGATATTTGTGAAGTTTACAACAGATAATCTACTTATGAATCGGTTGTTGGGATGGTTATTAGCATGACATATTGATTTTATCTGTTTAATTGAAGATAAGATCACCTGTCTGACTATATTTTGCATTTAAAATGATTAAAATTAATTGTTCCGTTTAGTTCACTTTCTTTTAACGTCATCTTGTTTTTGTTGATCCGCCAATTGTTTTGATATGTTTAAATGATAAAACATATATTCCTACATACGTTTTCACATGTTGAGCACTTTTCAACATTACCATTTACTTATTATTGAGGGGTATGACAGAGGTCCACAAAAATACAAATATTAGATTTTGGTATTTTTGAAGTTTACAAAAGGATTATCTACTTATAAATCGGTTTTTGAGAAGGTTATTAGCATGACTTATTGATTTTATCTGTTTAATTGAAAATAAGATCGTCTGTCTGATTATATTGTTCTATTTTGTTCACTTTCTTTTAACATCATCTTGTTTTTGTTGATCCACCAATTGTTAAATGATATGTGTAAATGATAAAACATGTATTATCACATACATTTTCACCTGTTGAGGACTTTACCGTTTACTTATTATTGAGGGGTTTAACAGGGAGGGGTCAACAAAAATATTAGATTTTGATAGTTTTGAAGTTTACAACAGATTATCTAGTCATTAATCGGCTTTTGGAAAGTTTACTAGTATAACAAATTGATTTTATCTCGATGTACATTAGATGTTCAAGAGACCAATAAACTTATTTATTAATTATTGAGGGGTTTAACAGGGGTTCACAAAAAAATATAAAAAATATTAGATTTTGATATTTTTGAAGTTTTTTTGGAAAGGTTATTAATATTAGTATGCCATATTGATTTTATATGTTTAATTGAAACTAAGATCGTCTGTTTGACTATATTTTGCATTCAAAATGATAAAAAATAATGGTTCCATTTAGTTCACTTTCTTTTAACATCATCTTGTTTTTTGTTGATCTGCGTTGTTAATGATATGTTTAAATGATAAAACATATATTCCTACATACGTTTTCACCTGTTGAGGACCTGTCAACATTACCGTTTACTTATCATTGAGGGGTTTAACAGAGGTCCATAATAATGAAAAGTATTAGATATTGACACTTTTGAAGTTAACAACGAATTTTCCACTAATGTATCGGCTTTTGGAAAGGTCATTAGCATGACATATTGATTTTATCTTTTTAATTGAAAATAATATCTTCTGTCTGACTATATTTTGCATTCAACATGATTAAAAATAATGGTTCCATTTAGTTCACTTTCTTTGCACACAATCTTGTTTTCGTTGATCTGCAAATTGTTTCTGCCTATATTCATACATACGTTTTCACCTGTTGAGCACTGAAACACAGAGCACTGTTTACATTTTAAAACCTTGGAAAAAGCATTTGATCACATATAATATTGCATTTAAATCATAATCTAAGATGAGTTAGGAATTTATTCCCACTATTTATAAAAATGGATTTTAACATCAATAAAGCATGATATGATGTTGGGTGAAAGGATATATGATTTTTGCGATACGGGCTCTACAAGCATCTCGACAAGCAAATAACTTTAGTAATAGAAAAGCCTTTACCCTGATTATTTTATTTAGTAGAAAATAGACTGTCCTATGAGGCAATGCTAGAACCCAAAATTTCTCTTGAAATTAATAAATACCGTCTCGCCCAATATTTTTTTCTCGAATAGGTATTCAGCCATTATCAGCTGCTGATCATCAATATTTTTGATTAATATTGCCCGCAGAAATGACGTTATTAGAATTATTGCTCAGGTCGATATAGTAACAAATGCCACCTAAACTAGCACTAATACCACTAAAACATGCCCCGCAAGTTGGTAATAATAGTAATTGATCCGAGAACTATCCACAAAATATTCTTTTTTTATATATTTTTGAATTAATCTTGAATTAAATCTTCAATAAATGAAAATCTGAACCACTTTAAGATATTCAAAAAATTCAGTGTGCCATGTTTATAGTATTCACATATCAGAGATGATCAAAATCGCTCCACAATTTTTCGAGTTATAGTAAAATATGTTAAAATGGCGGCTATGTTTAAAATGGCCGCCTTCTCCCAAAAGTGTCATTAGACAGTGTGCCATTCTTATAGTATTCACATGCCAAATATGAACGAAATCACTCCACTACTTTTCGAGTTACAGCAAAAATCGTAAAATAACAAGTAAGGGCCACCATTTTTCAAGATGGCTGCCATGTGCTTCTTTAATATCTGCATTTCTAGCTTTATTAATGTCCTATATCATTTTTTTCATTTAAAAGATATTGCTATTACAGTTTTACATATTGCACCTAAATAACTGTAAAATCGGCACTAAAATGGCCGCTATTTTTAAATGAGTGGCCATTTTGAAAATCGGCTTTCGAACAGAACTTCTACCCCCATAGGGTATATGTGTACAAAATATGAACAAAATTGGGCCAACAGTATTTGAGTTATTGCCCGAACGGACGTACGTACGTACGGACGGACAGACGGACGGACGTATATCCCTCCGAACTTCGTTCAATTGGATAACTTTTATAAAATTAATTCAAATTGTTAGGACATGATACTAAGCTTATAAAGTAAAAATTTGATTAGTTACACCAACCATTGTGATTTTAGAGCCCATTGTTATCTCATTTTACAGTTTAAATTGTATAAATCTTCTTGCTGTCAACGTATTTATAATAGTCTACACTTATTTAATGCCTGTTTATAATGATAGCGAACATTACTGTAATACTGAAATCATATAAGTAATAAAGATCCCAAAGTAGAGGTCAATGTCCCCTCCCCCCATTTGTGACATTGGGTTATACGAATTAGGTTGAAGACATCAGGATGAAACCTGTTTTCATGATTAATACACCTCAATGATGTAATTTAATCGTAAAAATGTACTAGCTTTTCATCTAAGAACTATCCGGAAAAATATTTAATATTTGTAAAATGGACCCCTGCTGAAATCGTTCATAAATGAAGTTCTGCAACTTTGTATGGTGCTCAAAAATTCATAAATGGTCAATGTTATAATCCTAACTAAAAAAGCAAATTAAAAACATGAGGCTGTAACAATAAGCTTTAAAAAAAATTATCCAGTGTTTGATGAGTTATACCCCCCACTGTGAACATGGATTCCATTTTGATCTAATTTTCAGGTGAAATTTTACATTATGCTCTCGATATACAATAATTCATGCTTTTTGTACTTATTTATTATCTATTCACAAGAAATCTTTTAAAACAATTATTTCTTTAAAAAATGGACCCCTGCTTAAATCTCAAATAAATGATAAACGGTAATGTTGTGTGATCCTCAACAAGCAATACCATATTCAGTGATATTAAACCTATCAATATAATCTATAAAAATGATTGGAACTTGAACAGGAGGTAATTTCCAAATATTTGTCAATTCCTTTATCACTATATATTTGAAACCGGTGATTGATATATGCGTAAAATCTCTCAGGATTAATCTGTTTCTCATTGATAATATTTCGGACTACGGAACAACAGATTATTGGTCTCCAAACTGTTTCTACTTTAAAATTTGGTTTAACTTCGGGCATTTCGTTTAAAGGGTGACGCATATCGTTTAGCAAATCGAACGCTCGTTTCTGGTGTTGCTCACCGTTTAGTATAAAAGGCCCGATCCCGGAATAATACTCAAGGGTTCACAGGCTCGAGGTCGTTGTGTCAACACCTCTAACTGTTATATAGCATACGTATATTATAGATCGTCACATATTTATAAAACGGTGATTTTTATTTGACAAATCAATTCCACATTTATGGGTGAAGTTTCAGGATTTTCTATTTGTGTATAATAAGGAAAAATTGACATCTAAATTTCCCCATAACGTAATAGCACACAGCTTGGTATAGAAATATCCTACAAATGAAACAAAGCAGTTCTAATACAAGGATTTATATTGGCTGTTGTACATATTATTTGAACGCAATCACTCTATGGATAATGTTTTCAAAATCATTATAAACGGATTACTTTATCTCAAAGACAATTTCAATAAACTGGATTTTACAGAACTCCCCTTATTTCTTAAAAATGGACTGATCCAGTCGATTCGCCTGGAGCCGCCATATTGTTTTTATACGGGATGCTTATCGGAACCCTTTAACAGAAGGAAAAAATAAAAAAAATAATACTGGATGATTTTCTACAATAAGTTCATGAGTCTCAAGTTATTTTTGACTAATCTGCGTCATCTGGTGTCACGTAAAACTCACAGGAAGTTATTTGTTATCATACTGGTTTGTTTATTTTTCCAAGGGTTTTATTTCGAATATTACTTTCTCTAACCATAGCACATAGACAGGATCTGTTTGAAGTCCTAATCAGACTGACTTGTTTAATCTTTGGCTTTGTTTTAATGACTTTGGTTTGTTTATTGTTTGAGTTAAAGATTTTAAAGATATCTACAAAGTAAGCTGATAGGTATACTGGGATTTCAAATGATCAATTTGAAAATAAATAAAATTTTCGGTCATATACTACGCCATAAATCATTAAATCTCGGTCTTTATTCCTTAGATGAATGCAATAAAGAGAGCCCAAAGGGCTCTTTACAAATAACTAGTTAGATATATCTTAACTATCGAATGTTACACTCTTAAAAATTATAACTTGGATTTCCTTATATTGAGAAATTGTACTACTCATTTTAAGTCAATAATTACTTAAATAATCTTGAACTACTGAATAATTTTTAAGTAATTTTTAAGTAATTCATATATGGTGAATAAACTAATACAAGGAGAGAAATTGAAATACTTACTGTAGTAATTGTAATACTCATTTACATAATTAAGCAATTAAAAAACTCAAAATGACAATATAAGTTAAACCTAAGTAAAATGAAGTAAAACTAAGTATTTAACTTTAAGTAATTTTTATACTTGGGAAATACTTTGGAAATACACAAGTATTTCATTTTTAAGAGTGTAATTTTAAAGGTTTGTTGGACTTGACTTACCTTTGATTTGATGACCGAGTGTTTTCACATTCCGTAACATTTCGTAACTCAAGGCTACAAGAAACTCCAACCAGTGATAAGAATACTACAATTCCATTGAGCTCATATACGGTCTTAGTCATTTTTAAACACGAATTTCATCAGACGTTATGACCTCTGCTTTCGTCGCCGAACGGAGGAATGTCTATTTAAACGAGGTATTAAAGCAGTATTAAACAATATATGATGAAAACCGGATATTTCAACCTTGTATAAAGATCCATTTATGTCTAAAGTTATACTGAAGCAATATAATACTATTCAAATTTGCAAAAAAGCATTCAGTAGAAAGTAAATATATTGTTTAAAATAGGGCAGTGGAATGATTGATAAAGTAACATTGTATCAGAACCAGCAGTTTAAATGTGTATTCTGATAAATAGCCAAAAGAGCACGTAGGTTATCGCAAACAATTTCAGACAATTAACTTGAGTATTGAATATGTTCTGATCATGAACATGGGTGCATCTTTTATAGCCACCTGTCACCTTTAAGAAAACTGGATATAATTACGATTTAGTAAGACCTCGCAATGGACCAATCAACATACTTTTTCAAAAATGTTGACCTAATTTTCACCAAAAATGCAACCTTTGATTACATTGCTGAATGCATAATTAGAATGTGTTTTAAGACATGTTATATTTCCTAAAAGGAAAGGTTGATTGCTCTAGGGACTTTGAAGATACTGAATTTGGATTACCAAAATGAACTGAAACCAATTGATAGCATGAGATTTTTCAATGAAGAAATAACATGGGGAATACTAATCTTAGAGCAATTCAGTTTTTCTTTCAAGAACTATTTGATACATCAAAATAAAGAAGTAATGCATTGTAAAAAGTGATTGCATTTTTGGTGAAAATTAGGTCAACATCTTTGAAAAAGTGTGTTGGTGGGTTAGTTGCAAGTAAATATTTTCAAGTCTGTTTGACTTTATTATCATTGTATATAATAATCTTAGAGCAATTCAGTTTTTCTTTCAAGAACTATTTGATACATCAAAATAAAGAAGTAATGCATTGTAAAAAGTGATTGCATTTTTGGTGAAAATTAGGTCAACATCTTTGAAAAAGTGTGTTGGTGGGTTAGTTGCAAGTAAATATTTCCAAGTCTGTTTGACTTTATTATCATTGTATATAATTTTCTTTGAGATATTGAATTGATCTAAAAGATATACCTGTCTCCATGGTCAGAAAATAGCCTTCCAATATATAACTGTCTGAAATTGTTTGCGATAACCTCTTTGTTTGCGTGAATCTTTCTGGAATAGTAAAATCATGAAACAAAAACACTCCCATTTCTTACATATATGCTGAAGTTGACACCTATTTCTTTGTAAATTGGATATTTTCTTCGTAAACATAAACATATTTTTAGAGCAAAGAATATGAAAACATTCAACTCTCCATTTGTTAAACAGTGACATTTAAAGTACTCAACAGCTCCTTTAAGCCATCTCAATATAATACACGGACGAACGCAAGACCGACTGATATATACTCCTCAAAAAAAGTTAAGGACCTCATAGGTTTACATGTTAACCCCCATATTTGTTTAACGACTGTTTTCTAAGCGGGGAACAAAAGAAATCTCAATAAAGAAAATAAATCTGTATCTTGATTCTACTCACTATAAAGTCCGCAACGTTTCAATGTTATATCTCAATTACATTGGGTCAAAATTGATGTCAAAATTTATGAATTTCATGAAATTTAACAAAAATGGCAGATCCCATGTTAAACAAATGGGGAATGGTTGGGTTGCCATAAGTCATATGAGGAAGGATCCATCCATCCGATTGCTCTCAAAATTGAGATAATTAAATTTGCTAAATTGTCTACTCGACAAAAATATGATTTAATTGTCCAGGCTTTACAAAAGTTAATGGTTTCAAATTCAATAATTTTTTAATGAACCTCTTATTGAAATAACACAGGTAGTTCAGAGAGGTGGTCAAAATTACTTTAACGCTCCGTATCACTAATTTTAACAACATAAGCAAGACATTTAGCTTGTAAAATGTAAAATCATTCAATTTTCTACTTAGAAAGTATTTCTAATAAATGTTTTGCTGAATAGATATTCCAAAATCTGAGTTGTCCCTAAGCCACCATTCCCCATTTGTTTAACATGGGATCTGCCATTTTTGTAACATTTCATGGAGTTCATCAATTTTGACATCAAATTTTGACCCAATGTAATGGAGATATAACATTGAAACGTTGCGGACTTTATAGCGAATAGAATCAAGATACAGATTTATTTACTTTATTGGGATTTCTTTCTATTGTCTCCAGCAAAGGACAGTATGTGGATAAGTGAATCAACAATGTACAATGCTCTTACGGAATATCAGGAATGAAGTAGCAGCATTACATTAGTGATGTGAACAACAGGGAAACATATGAACATGAAATGTTTTTCAAAAATGTATCACGGTGCCCATGTCAAGCTGCGCGCCTACTTAGGCGCGCAGTATGTTTCGATCACAAACTGCGTGCCTAACAACATTGCATCATTCAAGTCGGAGTCTGAATTTTGAAACGTAATTTTAAGACATTTATCCTGCATTGTTTTCTTGTTTAATGCGTTCATTCTGTGGCGAATATACGAATCTTGCAAATACTAGCAAAAACTATGTACAAATGGATCTAGGTTTTAAAACATAAGCAGATTAATGGCATTTTCGTCACTGATTTAACAGGAATTTATACGTAAATTGATCTAGCACTTTAAACATAAATGATAAATACTTCAGACTCGTTTTATATTTAATTCCTTACGTATTTATCATGTATAATTCAAAATATTTCGAGATAAAACAGATAATCGGGAGATTAAAAGGAAATAAAGCACAAACTGCGCGCCTATTTTTTGCCAGGAAATCACAAACTGCGCACATACTATCAAAACTACATATTATCATTGGACTTTCTACAGAGGCAGGTGTGTAGGTGTTTGTCATATAGCTTTGGACATTTTGCTATCGTCAGATTTTATGAGATTTTCATATTGAAAGTCAAAATGTATTACTTAGAAGTAACAATTAAGTTGGGAACGAAAAAACTTTTATTTCCAGATCATCATCTTGGTGGATGAACTCACATAGTATTTCAATTATTGGGTTCTACAATTAGATACGTATGTGCCTTACATATGGCGCTTACGTTTTCTAATAATACTAAACAAGCTTGGATAGGCAAGCAGTTTGGAAATATAAGGCACGTCGTTTGGGAAATACATGTGAATATAGGCGCGCAGTTTGACAAGAAATATGTTTAAATCACGTTTATGGCGTATTTTCGTTTGTAACAGAAACTATGCTGCTTTAATCAGATGAAGTGATCCTATATATTCTAGCACACACAGACACAATGGCTGAATAAACGGCAATTCACGAGAAAAAGACATAGATATAACTTTACACTGTAAATTTTGAACACAGAAGTTACTTAAGACCCTCTATATATTGAGATAACTAGGTTTACATCGGGAACAACATTGAGTACTATGAGTAAATTAAGTTCATCTTCACAGAATGGTACTATCTTTAGAACGAGATTAACCTTGTATTTGTCGTATTCTGGCTCTTTTGGGAGTCGTGTCCTCCCCGTCTTACATTTTGAAATATGCGCGCAGTTTGTCAGAGTTTCAAACTGCGTGCCTAGTAGGCGCGCAGCTTGACATGGGCATCGTGTGTATGAAAAACATACAGCTGCTCCGCAGAACGCGCGTACATGTTGCTATGGCAACTATACATTGAATATATTTGTGTAAAGTAAGAAATGTAATATAGTAAAATGAAGCTAACATCTTGATCTTTAATTTGTGTGAATTTCATATTGTTTCCATATCAAATAAAAAGAGAGCATAATAGAGCATATTTATCATTACTTCTCGAACACCCTGTAAATTGAAAACTGACAAATAAAATAGGTGTCCTATATTCTTGTAATAAATGAATTACAATGTCAAGTAACATTTGACGATGTTTTGAATGCATTGATATATTTCTATTGATACATTCTTATAACTTCATGCTGCAAAAATATAAAATTGATGACACCCCCTATCTTATATTTTTTCCAGGTGTAGGGGAAATAGGACTCCACCTATTTTATATGTCACTTAGTACATGTTTCATAATTGCATCTAATGTATATATGCTAAATGTGTCAACTAGATGCCTTGAGGGGGTGAGGCAAACGATGTCCGATTTGGCTGAATTTTTTTGTGCGGTCCCTACTAACAATATATCATAATGTATGAACAGCAACTTGATCAGAAAAAAAATTCCAAAAATGAAACACCCTAACTCGATGGTTAGTCGTAGAGAGAAATTCTTTGTTGCAAGGCATTGGAATTTAAAAACGGTTTAGTTTTAGAGTCTACGGAGCACAAAGGATATCTTGATGCCTTCATATTTCAGGATATATATTCAGTAAAAGATTCACCGAAAACTATTTTAATATAGAAAATCAAATTGTCTAACTTTTTCGAATTCAATTGTATTTTGCGAAAACAAAATGCAGGTATCGGAAATGATGTCAATTAATTTTTTCCAGCCCTAAAAACAGTTTTTTCTTTACACTGTACATATCATTCAAATAAGAATTCAAACATAAGGAGGCTTAAACACTCTGGTTGCCAAACTTTTGGAGGGAATGTAAATTGTATGTACACGTACAGGGTGGTCAAATAAAACGACAACCCTATCGCTATACTCCCTGATATTTGGTACATGTGTACATCATTCAATCTCCCACCAGCATACAATATTTCATGTCCAGGTTGATAGTTTACAGCACTTTAAAAAATATTCTCCAAAGTTCAATATTGTGCTTTTGGTAAACCTGCATCCGACGTCCAAAATGTTCTCACCTGACTTCTACCTGTGGAATATGCCAAAGGTAAAGTGTACAAAAAGGACCTCAGGACAATTACAGACCTCAAAAAGGAGATCATAATTTTCATTCAGGCCATACAATGTACCTACTGAGGATTGCAGCTGGGTCATAGACAACTTGTGCAGGTTTACCTAAGCGCGATGATGGCCGAACCTTGGGCATGTTGTTTAAAGTGCTGTAACATTGTAGAAGATATGCAAATGAGCTAATTTG